AATCTCACGTAAACAAACAGCTGTCGAAACTGAGGCCAAAGCCTCTCAACAGATGGCGCCACGTGACCTGCAGACGACGTGACACCTGAAGTGCGCCAAGCGAACCACCTCGCCCCATGGGCATCTTATTTATTTATTTATATACAGGAAGGTACATTAGGATTGTGAGATACATAGCATTAGTAATTACAATCTTGTAAAGCCACTAGTACTTTACTATTACAAGATTGTAATAGAAATTACAATCTTGTAAAGCCACTAGTACGCGCATACCTATGACATACCTTGCCTCATACCTTCTCCTGTATATCATTCATTCATTCAGTCACCACAAACTATCCCACAGTTGGCTTACTGTAGGGGCAGCCGCATGAACCACTTTACTGTAAAGCTGCCGCCCATTTGGCTGGGTGTGGAGCAACAGGACTAGTAGCTGTGTCACCATTGATGTAGAGTGCCTTGTAGAGTGACTCTTGTGAGCCTCTTGTTGAATCATTTGTGATATAAAAGATTACTGATATTTATATGTATTTGTGAACACTATATATTCCACCACAGCCCACGGGATGAGAGTGGGGTGCATAATAAAGAAAGAAATTTAATTGAAACCTCTATATATTTCTAAATTCAATCAATAATATTTAAATTTGATTTGCAAAATTAATGTTGAATGACAATTTATTGATATTGACAATATTAAAGCGAAGTACGTAAACCTGTTTACAGACAAGGATACATTATAAATCTTTATCACTGCTTCCAATAAATGTTTGCGTAATTTATCAGAGATTATATATTATTCAAAATCGTAGCCAAGAATGACAAGTTTGCCTGTAGCAGACAGTTCGCTCACACACAATATCAGGGTAATCCATTACCTTGTTTGCTGTAATATTAATAAATCGATAATAATTCATTGTGTTGGGAGACAGGCAGCCAGAGGGTATATATACATGTTAGGCTTACATCGTCATCATAGTCAACATGGTCTCTACAACAACACACCGTCTACCACAACATAGTCAACATGGCCTCCACAACAACAACACACCGTCTACCACAACATAGTCAACATGGCCTCCACAACAACACACAGTCTACCACAACATAGTCAACATGGCCTCCACAACAACAACACACCGTCTACCACAACATAGTCAACATGGCCTCCACAACAACACACAGTCTACCACAACATAGTCAACAAGACCTTACAGAAAGGCACACGTGGACTATATAACATCATAACAAGGAAGTTAACACAAAGAAGTTTACACTTCAGGTGTAATTCCGTTGTACTCAATTACACACACACCATTATCTTCAATCATAAACGGGTAATATCAAGAGATACCATTCTCGAGCAAGAGCAGAAGGCTAGGCTGTGAGAAGTGAGCAGCACAGCCCTGCAAGATTCGCCCAATACTGCTATAGCTTGACTAGCCGTCTCCCCCTCACCCAGGGCCCTCCCCACCCGCACACACCTGTAATATGCGGGTGTAGATCGAAGACTTTTGGTGTGGTGTCTTGACTATCATTCACCACATTAGTTCCTATACTCATATAAGATCAGAGTCTCTGCACTATGATTACTGGCAGAAAATCGCGAGAAACTGGAATATTAGCCTCCCAAATTGAGGCATAAGTAGGGGATTTTTAAGCAAATGCTAAACTCTCTAGATCACAAAACAGAACGAAGTATACCGAAATAAGTCCCCCCCCCCTAGTGTTACGGCTGTACACCAGCTGATCCTCACAGATGAATTAGTGGCTTGGTGCACCTGTGGTCGGTGTGGTGTGCACGTGTCGTCTGGGAGAACTCCCAACAGTCAACCGCGTTTCAATGTGACTGTGCAAAGCATTCTGCTCCGTTGATAAACACAAATACTAAGACGGCAGAGATTGTTGATAAAAAATTGTTTTGCTGAATGTAAAGCATGAAGTTGTAAGTGACAAATACTGTGTTTATTATCCAAGTTGGTTCACCAGTTGTGCGGATGAGCCGGGTGGTAAGGCGGCGAGTAGTGACAACTTTCTCACCACTATTAAAGTGTGGCCGAGGGGCAATAGATGCTTCTGAAACTCTATGGGACGCATTAAAACCATTTTAAGACACCAAGAAGAAACTCTGAATAATAGAGCATACTTGAGAGCGCTCGCTCTAACTGCGCAGGTGTGTCAGGCTCAGTACGCGCTACGCCGATGGTTTGACATTGAGACTGCCAGCCACGGCAGTGCGCGCTGGCCGAATTTTGTAACCAGCTCGTCAAGATTGTAACTTGCATAAATAAATTGTGGGGTTCAGTCCCTGAGCCCATTGTGTGCCTCTGTAACACTTTCCACTATCGCCCACAAGATGGGTATGGGGTGCATAATAAATGAACTAACGCAGGTGGGGAACAGTGACGGACCACTGGCCTATCAGCCACCATCTCCCAACAGCTCACTTGCTGTGGCGCCGATGGTTCTAAACCTCAGCTTCTGCTGTGTTTGGTGAATTTGTTCAGGTAGATTTCCAAATACATAACAGCATTATTCTTTCTCAGTCGGCGTCAGCATGTAAGTAATTATCAAAGACAGGCGCCAGGCGTCAGCAGGTAGGCTGTCCCATTGCTTCAGTACTCTACAGTAAAGATCAATTTCCTGTTATCCTGCAGCGCTGCTCGATTAGTGCTGTTGCTTCTCGCACGTCACTGTAGACATGTTGCAAATGTGCAACAGTGGAAATTATGAGAGAAATGAATCACATAATGATCGCCATTGCTATAAAAAGAATATATGAAACTATATAATTGGGCCATACGCCGCAGCTCTTATTATATCAAGCTAAATTCATTTATTTACGTATCTAACCTACGCTTGAAACAATCCAGCGAGCCCACGTCCGTTTTGTTACCCGGTATTTTGTTTCATTAATCAAGTACCGCGTTGCTAAACCAGCATGTACTTAGTGTGTGGTTTTTGCCTGCAAGAGGCACCGCCTCTGACACCAGCCACGTCGCTACCAACATGTGACGCATGGTTCTTGTTGAATATTCTAACTCACGCACACACACGCACACACACGCACGCACACACACGGGCTCACACGCATTTACTTGACGGATTAAGTTGTCAGTGGCCTTACTGTGGAAAGATTCAAGGCTTGTGAAAGATGTGTGTGTGTGTGGGGGGCTGATCCTTGCTAGTTATCTTAATACTAAAAATGTTTGTCATCATAATTTGCAATCCCTTATATATGGTAATTACATAAATTTATACTGGACTATCTGCTCTGACTACATGAGGCCACGGTCATTAAATCACAGTACACTGAATACATGAACATAATCTCGAGTTAACCCGGCGGTAATACCGGTATTAATAACCTGGGATTTCAATATACAAAGGATGTACCAACCATACATGTCATGGCTCCAGCCGTGTGTCTGGCGTGACCCACTCCTGGTGGACCAGTGTCTCCCGCCACCAGGAGCAGCCTGCCCAATACAGCTGGTGCCCACTCTAAACTACTGTTATGCCCAACAGGCCTCTTGTCCACCACTGTTTCTTGTCTGCTTCCCATCCTCCTATAGCCTTCCCGGTTTGGTGCCTTCTTTTGATAATTACTTACTCCCATCCTCCTACTATTCCCCCTTTCTTCCTTTCCTCCTCTCTCCTCTCTTTTGTTTTCTTCCGAATTTCTACACACATCCAGAGGCACTGCAATAATGGTAAATAAGTCTTCAGATGATTGCCAATAACCGCTTGAATGTGACGCTGTCTGTCACGTGAAGTTGTTTACATGGCTATTGTGGTGGTGAGAGTCCTTGATGAGCGTGTAATGTACGCGGTGAACTATTATCTACAACCATAGATGGCGCCAGCGCGGTGACTGAAATTGAAATTGAAATAAGTTTATTGAGGTAAAATACACACAAAGGGATGAGGTAGCTCAAGCTATTCTCACCCCGTTCAGTACATCGTGTTAATACATACATATACACACATCACAAACAATAAACGTATTACCGAACATTCTGAGAGATAAACATATACATTTCCTAGCGCGGTGATTGTCTACAGCCTGTACTCTTCCCAATGCTTATTACCAATCACATTCATTGAAAAGTTCATTATAATGAAAACTGCTTCACTTGATTAGGAACTATGAGTAGGTTATTTATGTACAACCTTATGACAAAAATTGTGTAATTGATATCTAGTGAGTATCTAGTGAGTATCTAAAGGAGTACCTAGTGGCACGAGTGCAGTGTGGTCTGTCCTGCACAGGACTCACTGCACAGATAATAATGCACCCGTTACTCGGCCAGTTGGTTAAACTCCTTTGAGTCTGTCAAGTAACTGGTAGGGTGACCACGCGAAATGACTGTTGATATTGGGTTAAAGCCAACCCTTTTACCCTGTCGTAGCTCAGTCGATTAAGGCAGTGTCTGGGATGCTCCCGGACGCAGGTTCGAATCCTCGTCACGGCCCTTGTGGATTTGTTTATACCCTCTCCCTCCCTCCTTACACAGCTCGGGGCTGGAGCACACTTTAAAAGTAGAGATGTGCATGACAGCCGGCATAAAATGGTCTCCTTGTAAAGATGACTGAATGCTGTTACCAAAATATGAACATATTACACGAATGAATAAATATATATAGTTGGAAATATACAGTTTACTTCGATACTGTTAATGTTGTCCATTGCCAGGAAGCTTGACATTTCACGAAGGCAAAACCATCTCCATAGTGAGTGTAGTTTCCGACGTTTCATTTGTGCACTTGAGTAGTTGGGACCAAGAGATACACAGCAATAATGTTCCGTCAGACAGGACAGTCCCCGTCTGACCCTTTAGCGCCGTCCTTACCCCTGTCTACTCCGGGTCATTTCCATATCTACAGAAAATATTCCCTCACATAGAGCGACATAGACTAGTGCACATTGTACGTACGCCGGGGTGACGAGGAGTACATGTGACTGGTGGGGTTATCAAAGCGCGGATGTGAGACTTCCTGGAGAGATAGCACGCCAGGACTCAGGGAGGGACCTCACAACTTGATCAGATGTCGCCACATCCACACTCACTCTACACATACCAGGCTTTGTAACGTCATAGTCTCCCTGAACTCTTGTGCTTATGTTCAGGAATGTCAACAAGGATGGTGTGGCATAGAAGTATACATCAGTGAACACGTCCCTAGTACGGGGCGTTGTGAGGGACTCCACCAGTGTGGGGTCCGGTGATACCATGGCGGGGCGCACAGACACTTGTTTCGATGTAAAGTTGTCCCTTAGACTGCACTGAAAGTGACGTTCCAAGGCAATCTTTCCAGAGCACTTGCTATTGATTTTAGATTGTTCGAAAAGTGTTTATATAAATATGTTAATTGTTCAACGTACAGGTATTGTTTTGTGGAGTGTTGGTGTGGCGTCAGAGTGCTGTGATCAGCACAGGCAACAGATAAACGGGATAAACTACAGCACAGACTGTCCGCTGCCTCTGAGATGTCCAGTGCTTTTGTTAGTCTTATGTAAATGCTTGTATTTACTGGGTGTGTGTGTGTTAGCATCCATTGCACTTCAACAAAAATTATTTTCAGTTTCTGTGGACTGTGTTGAAAGTTTAATGGAAAACCAAAAGAGACTACAGATAAAGTCTGCCAACTTAAACACCCATCAGAAGTGTTAATATATTCTTTGGGTGACCTTGAAGACAAAAGTGATTCTTCCTGACAACCCGGGACGTCAGGTTAGACGCCGTCCCTCACCAGGCCCGCTGGACCTATCCACCAGTCAATACCTCACACCTTCCCTGCCCAAAACCATGCCCTTTTGAGAACTCCAAGAGCATTTTCCCGCGACACAGCAGCGCCCAAGTGGCAGCGTTGGGAGTAATCAAGGCGACATGGGCTCGGGCGTGGGTAAGGGGGAGGACGAGGGCGTGAAGGGAACGTGGCGTGTGAACACCTTCCTCTTTTTGTTGACGGGAAGTCAAGGAGTCTTGCTGCCCTGGACGCCCCTCATCCTCAAGGCTGCTAGCTTCTCTGCTCAGGGTGAGTCCTTAACTGTCCTTACCTCCAGTCTCTTAAGGGTATAGGTTAAGTAATAATTGTAAATGAGAAGCAATAATATGCTTATCTTAAGATACTAAGAAGGTTAGGTGAGGTCGGTGTTTTCTATGAAGCTTTTCAAGGTAAACTAAAATATTCACAATCAATTAGTATGTCACATATGCACTTATTAAATAAGCCAATATTGACTATAAGCAAGTGCGAGAACGGGTTGCATCTAGACAACCCACCCACCTACCAGAGCCAATAATCATTAGGCCCACGAGCCGTCAATAATGAGGTAATTTTAATTTACCTAAACCACCACAGTTTTGACGTTAAGGTCGATAGCGAATAAGTGCAGCGTATTCAGTAAGAGGACAGGTTGCTAGACTAGTTACTTGTGTCACCTTTCGATATCACCCTAGTTCTGTGTTACATTTTGTTGTCACCCTCACTTCGTGCGCTTCCAGCTATATCAGCCTCGCTGCCAATGTCACCGTGGCTGTCTACCTTCGTGTCAGTGATACTCACTGACTCGCATCTTCATATTATTCTCTGTGCTACTGATTATTTTATTATTGGTGCATCTGTGTTTATCTTATTCTGACGTGCCCGTGTGTACCCGCGATGCTTCTGCCTGCCAGGTGGCTCACTTTTTACCACTCTTTGTTATGGGATTACCAGCCCCTCCATCTTGTGTGTGTGTGTGTGTGTGTGTGTGTGTGTGTGTGTGTGTGTGTGTGTGTGTGTGTGTGTGTGTGTGTGTGTGTGTGTGTGTGTGTGTCCTGCCCACCCATGTTCTTTAGTCCTGTCCCTGCTAAACATTTTGTATTCCTATACTTCATCGATGATTTTTACACACCACCTCATCCTTCAACTCTCTCCAGTTGTGCACTACTCGGAGAAAAATGGCTTCTCACATCTCTCCTCCATTTTGCTTTTTATTACTTAAGTAAGTATGTCTCTGGTTCTTCCTGTAGCCGGGGTAATGAAGTTTTACTTGTCTATCTTTTGATACACGTTGATGTACTTGAAATCAGTTTCGTGATTTTAATAATTGTTCGTCGTAGCAAGTTTTATTTTTTTTGAACCTGTATATGGATCATGATTTTCAGTGTCTAGATTTTGGTGCTCATTGTAGTATTTTTTTCTTTCTTCAGGAGACCCCACAAGAACCTTGCTGGATGCTTACATTTTGACCCCATCAATATTACCAATGTCTTTTTTCCCATCTATTGTATAATAATAAATTGTGTCGGGGGACAGGTAGCCAGTTTACACATACATATTATATGAATGACAAGCTTGTCATACATGTACACTGGCCAAATAAATGAGGCTAATAACGATGCTTCTTTAGATCTAAGGACTCACGGCTGTCTCTCCGTCATTTCAATAATTTCCGTCGCTCCGTTGTAAAAATAAATTGACTTCGAAGCAAGGTTTTATAGACTCGAGTACAAACTGCTCCTCGTGTGGTTTATCCACTTGTGATTCTTCCTTGTAACTGAGTCTTCCGTTTCATTTGTTCAGTATTATGATATTCTCCATCTTTTACACTTCGTATGTTCCCTTTTCTTTCTAGGACGCCTTAAAGACCTTTGTTCTGCTGTACATGTTTCCAGGACCTAGCATATTATTTTTTCTGGTTCAACTGATTTATTGTCTGACTTTGTCTTGTGAACCTTTGTTGTGTCCATTATGGAGAGTGGATAGACCCTGTTAACTGTGTCCATGTCAGTAATGACGCCTCTTGCCTCAGGTGTGGGCGTGGTCACGTGCCTTGTTACCCTGGCCTCCAGCTTGGGTGTAATAGCGTGTCTGACGGGTGTCAGGAAGACCCGCAGCGGGGCCGTACGTCGGCTGCTGCTTCTCCTGCTGCTGGCTTCTGCTGCCGCTTTGCATGTGTCTGCTGTGATACTCCTGCAGCAGCAGCAGGCGGTAAGACGCCTTGGCTCCTGCTACTACCAATATTCCTCCATTTCTTCTCCACCCTCTTCATCATTGATCTCTACCACTATCTCACAGCCATCGTCATCACCGCAGCCACCAGGATCACCATCAACACCGTTATTATCGTCAACAACATCAGACACGGAGCTGCTGCCTTCATCAATGGTTCACCAGAACGGAAGCATCATCGTGCTGACAAAAACAACACAAAATGTGACTACATTGCAACATCCGCAAATTATGACCTTTGAGACTCCCTCCGTTATCACATCGTCCACCACCACCACTGCTGCCACAACACTCACGAACTACAACCGCGCCACAACTACAGAGCCTGAGGTATCTAACCCTCATTTGTCAAGTACAGTGGACACCAGCACAGATGAGACTCGCAGAGGCACCAAAATAAAGCCAGGGAAGGGCACAAAGGTTCTTCCAGTGACGACAACGGTTGAAGGTCCACAAAATAAACAAGTAACTGACACCTTCACCACTTTATGGCCCACAAACATTATAAGCAGTTCCAATAATTATGCAAAGAGTGAATTTTCACATAAAACTCAAATAACCTCAAAACGGCAACATGACTCTGGGAAAAGCGCCGACCACACCAAGACGACAGCAGGAGTACTGCCAGACAACCCTGATAATAGCGACCAACGGGCAGATGTCGGAGATTTGACTGACAATGACACACCTCAAAAGGAAGTTGGTGAAGCTGATGACTCAGAAGACGACGATGGCGATTATAATGACGAGAATTACAGCGACAATCAACAAGGAGATGAAGTTTCTCTAGTAAGATTGTCAGGTCCCGATCGCAATGAAGACTTACTTTCTAAACCTCGTTTGCTTGGAAAGTATTCAGAAAGTAATTTTCCAGTACTTTCTGACCACAAAAAATCTCCCAAGGCAATAATTAACAGCTTAGGAAGCGCTCACTGGAGTCCCAAGAACTGGTTAAACAAAGTCGCAGTTCCACGACAGACACGCGTCGATCAAACGAACCACATAACCAGACCAGTCCAGGGAATCCCAGTCAAGACCGACAAACATATCTGGCTTAAGGAGACTCCTAGCAGTAGCAGCAGGCAAGGCAGAGATCCTTACGAGTCTTCCATCTTGCCCCAAGTCCCCCCACCGCCCATTATATTCCCACCAGATGATATCATGAAGCGCACACGTCCTGCTGCAGACTCCAAGAGGGAGGACTCACGGCATCATTCTCATCCAAGAGACCGTCCACGTTCGTACAGCAGTGATCTGCGCCCGTGGTTGTCCCCTCCACGAAGCCAAATTGATGAATCAGGAAGCCAGGAGAGTCACGAATTTAGTTCAGGTGTCAACCCACAGAAGGTGTACCAACGAAGCCGTCGTTCCCTTCCTTTATATACAGGAGACGCTAATGCCGGCGATATTGACACTAACACGGCAGCAAGTCCAGTAAGTCATAATGATGGGAGTATAACAAAGTCTCACACAAACCCTAGGGATGGGGTTTCAGAGGAGTCGCGGAGCGCGTCAGAAAGTGAGGCCCGCGATATAGGGGTGAAGATGGGTGTCGCGGTACTTATAATTATTGGCGGGTTTCTGGGGGCAGGAGTGGAGGCCAGCGTGGCCCAGCTCTGGCACTGCTACTCCCACGGCTACGACGAAGGTGGCGTCAGCCACGACATTCTGCAGCGCACCATCACTCACACCTTCCACCTCAGTACCTACGCCAGTCACAAGTCATGGTCGCTGCTGACCTCGGGGGCGTGGCTCCTGATGGGTGGAGCCCTGTCCACCATAGCGTGCATGGTGGGTGTTGAGGTGGGCGTGTACGGCGGGTTGGCAAGCGTGCACCTGGCGCTTGTGTTGTGCGCCCTGGGCGTCCTGCTGCTGGTGCCTGTCCCCTACGGCTCCGTGGACCCTCCCAGGACCCGCCGCCCTCTCTCCCTCTACCTCGACGATGAGGTCAGTCCTTACCCTCTAAATTGCCAATGTCTTTATATTTTTTAACTCATCAATAGCATCTTATATAAAACTGCCATATACATAATGTTATGAGATTAGTCAATGACATGTTCAGTATGACGCTATTACCATGTTATGAGACAGCATGACTATGACCTCATATGAGACACGTGATAACATAATGTTATAAGATTACATCGAAGACAATAACATCACTTAAAAACACATGATAACATCACTTCAACAAAAAATCTATAGACTTTTGTACTATAAAAACACATTACTATGGTCATTATTAAGTAACTAGGCAGTATGCATACCTCAAGGCTAATACAGTTACAGAACCATCGTACCCTTTGTAATGTGACTTCACCCACAAATACACCAGAAACTCCTACAGTAGACTGATACAGTAGCACCATACTTTCAAAGAGTTCTGCTATAAGTCATCCCTATATAACAGTATAATGCTATTCATACTCTGTACTGAATAAATCTGTTCGCAACCGAAAGGTCTCGGGTTCGATTCCCGTGCAGGACGAAGACGTTCGAGTATGTTTCCTTTCACTCGATGGAACTGTTCCCCTAGCAGTAAATATGTACCTAAGAGTTAGACAACTGTTGTGGGTTGCATCCTAGGGATGGTCAGACGTTGCCTAGGGCCCTAGGCCAACGTCAATAAGCCTAACCGGCTTCCTGTCCCTGACAATGGGGGAACCATAAGCACAAGTAACTTGTACACAAGTAACTGACTAAAATCACGCTTGGTTAGAACCTTTATGATATAACTTTATAGTATAGTGAAAGCAAGACTAGTTAATAACATCTAAAGTATAGTGAGAGAATCTTTAAATGCAATAACTTTAATATAAAACTGACCAGGTTAGCTTTACTCTTTAATATTAATAATGACAATAAATATATCCTAGTGGGTACAATATCCAAGAGTAACGTTGATTCAACGTTACTATTGATTATTGTATCCACTGGGATAATCTTTAGTCTTCATAAGATGATCTAAATACATGATTTTGTATGGTACATAATATAAATAATAGATTTAACGTATAATAGTCAGGCAGAAATGACTGTAATGCCCTCGTTACCACAGACTTGCCTTTTAAGTTATTTAAGAAGAACCATTATAGCCTTATGAGCTAAGGGACGTCGTGTTGTTCCAGGTCCTGCGAGAAGGACTCCGGCGTCTGACCTTCCACTCGTGGGTGCTGGCCAACGGCTGCCTCGCTGCCTTCTCCTTCACCTTCAGCATCTGGCTCCTGCAGGAGATGACCTCGCAGGTTAGCAGCAGCGATATCCATAGGTTCAGTTTGGCACTCATCCGTGGCTCGAAGTAGAAGCAGGGGAAGTAGTAGTGGTAGAAATAGTAGCAGTGGTGGTAGTAATACTATTAACAGTGATAATAGGGCGGTAATAGTAGTAGTAGTCGTGGCAGTAGTGGTAATAAGGATAGAAACGTTAGGTGGAACCTGAATGGATCAGTGATAATGTTTGAATTCCATCTTCGGTGGCCATCCCATGGCGAAGTTACTTTCGAACCTAGTAAAATGTATTTACCTAATCAATGAGATGTCAGAGCTTCTCATTGCATGAATGCACGTTATGCAAATAACTGACTAGGCTTACAGATGGACGGGTCCGCAGTAATAATTGATGTGCTTCACCGGTAATCCACCAGATGTCGGTCAATCGCGTCAATGTTCCAGGGGTCGGCGATGGTGGCCCAGGCAGCGGCGCTTGCTGTCACCTTCATTTCGGAGGGCCTGACTCATCAGACCCAACGATGGATTATGTCCCACTGGGGGCTGCAGGGAACCATGGGCATAGGCGGCGTGGGCGTGATGCTTCACTTCGGAGTGATGTGGGCGTCTGAGAACGTTGGCCTAGTGGTCGTCTCCCACGCTGGATTAGGCTGTGGCTTGGCGCTCATGTGGGTCGCCGTCAAAAACAACTCTCTACTTCTCGCCACCGTTAGTAAGTATAATAATAATAATAATAATAATAATAATAATAATAATAATAATAATAATAATAATAATAATAATATGATATTATTTAGATAGTATTTGGGATATTTGTAGATACAGGGGTGATACATTAATATGAAACCACAGCATTACAAAATTATTAATAACGTCTCTGAGCAGAACTGCTTACTTGGATGAGCTGCAGATAGAGATTATCATAAGCATTTGTTGGGACCAGGTGACCAGGAGCGGGAGGCGTGGGCGTCGTGGTGGTGCTGGCGTCTTGGTGTGGGCGTGGGGGCGGCCGTGTGGGGGTCAGGTGTACAGGGCGCGGGGCAGACGGTGCGGCCACTCCTTCTACACGCCACACTCATCTCTGCCACCATCGCCTCCACCGTTGGTGTCACAGCCATCATCACCAGGTAACGTCATGGCGCTCCTGCCATTCTTGTATGCTAGGAGTCTGGGATGCTCTCGGATGTAGGTTCGAATCTTCGTCACGGCCCTTGTAATTAGTCGACCTAATTGTATTTGTGATATTTTTTTCTGCCATGTTCCCCCCTCCTTTTTTATTTTTATTTGTTCTCAACACATTTTATACTTTAATCTCAATTAGTATTAAGTTTTAGTCTTTAATGTTTTTCCTGCCCGAAACGCTTTGCGTAATAGTGGCTTTAGGCATTGTATGTACTAGCTCTATCTATAAGTCTATCAATTTTTGTATAACCTCTTGTATGTACGTACTTTACCTGAATAAACATTTGAATTTTTGAATTTTGAATTTTTGTGGAGTGTTCATTTGCTAGTATCAGTATTGGATGAACCATAGATGTGACAAGATGGGTATGGGGTGCATAATAAATGAACTAAACTAACTAGTATCATTATTGTTAATGTTAATATTTCTACTACTGGCACTGCTTTGCTTGTAAATACTCTCTACGATAACTAAATATCGGGTATACCTCATCACAGAATGAATCTACCTCCCTAAAGCTATGCTCGTCTTAAATATAAATTAATATTATACATTATAGTTTTGTGTTTAGTTAGCACTCAAAGAGCCTAACCTAACCTGTACAAGCTATTCTAAGCCTAATATAGTACACATATTTTGTTTTGTCGAAGTCAGGGCGTTTGTATACGCACACACTATAGACTTGTGTCAAGGTTCAAGTTCAAGTATGTTTATTGAGACAAAAAAAAAATACATCTCAAAAGGATAGAGTAGCTTAGGCTATTTCTACCCCCCTTTACTTCAAGTCCCTCAAAGGGGGCACAAATTCAGTGAGTACACATACACAAATCACAATACAAGAATCCAATTTAACATTGCACGTGTCAAGGACCCTCAAGGTCGACCTACTGACCCTTCCCAGAATGCAACCTTCAAAACAGTTATCTAACTTCCGGGTGCACAGTTACTGGTAGGCCAACAGGTGCATTAAGTGAAAGGAAACGTGCCTGTCCATTTCTATCCAGGCCAGGAATCGAACCCGGGATCCCTCGAGTGTGGGTCGAGAATGGACGTGATAGGTTAAGTAATAATTGTAAATAAGAAGCAATAAGATGCTTATCTTAACATACTAAGAAGGTTAGGTGAGATCGGTGTTTTCTATGAAACTTTTCAAGGTAAACTAAAATATTCACAATCAATTAGTATGTCACATATGCACTTATTAAATAAGCCAATATTGACTGTAAGCAAGTGCGAGAACGGGTTGCAACTGAAACCGGCTGTACTATACTAGGCCTAGGAATGTTGTTTTTTTGTCTTTTTATTTTCGTTCCCTCTACACAATTAATACTACAAAACCTGAATATTACACGTTGGCTGCAACAGTCCATTTTTATACGTTAGACCAAATACAGTAGTTGCTCTGAGTACTATAATTCTAGAAGGATGGGTTCTTCACCCTGTCTTCAGTTGGCAGGACGGACCGAAAACATCGCCGTCTCTTCATCTTCTAGTGTGTGTTGTTTGGTCAAGTTCAAGTTCAAGTTCAAGTATGTTTATTGAGACAAGAAAAAAATACATCTCAAAGGTATAGAGTAGGTTAGGCTATTTCTACCCCCACCCCCCTGTAGTTGTTTGGTCATCATATCTTCAGCCACGTTATTGTGATTGATCGTCTGCATCATTAACACCAATAAATGACAACATACCACACCAACATTGCCACACATCCTGCACACAACCACTACACTATTACACCACACCAAACAAAAGCCACCACATTCACAAAAGCCACCATAACAACCACATTTACAGCCCCACACACCATCACAATCCCCTCTACCACAACATGGCTCTCCCCTAACAACACAAATCATTGCTAGTAATTTCAGTGCAAACTCAAATCTAGTACTTGCAGGCGGAACTGGCGAACCCATCGAAGAGTCTACCACACTCTCGACCTCAACATGGCTGATAGCACTGAGGACGACCACGAAGACGACGATCCCTGCGAAGACGACTGGTTGGTCAAGAGAGCCAAGAAGGAAGGCATCACTCTCTGAGGGGGAAAAATAACATGGGCGAAATTCTGTTGTGCTGGGAAAAATGACCAGATATACTGTATATATTTGGTCAATCTTGGCTTGGCTGGAAATATGGTAAATTCGTCATGCTGGTATTAGTTCGATAAACTCAGAATGAACTGTTGATGTATATGTTATCAAACTATGTAACTAGCTCATTAATGATGTAACTTGGGTTTATGTTTCAGGTCTTAAGCCCATTATTATATGCCTCTAACCTTGTCACCTACTACTAACAGGATGAGCTGTGGGTACATGAACTGAACTAAACGCCACTGTGTGAAGAACAAAGGTGTACATATTGTAATTGTACACCTTTGTAATTGTACAAATTGTAAACAATTTCATTTAAATTCATGGCTACAGCCAAAGTGTGAAATCTCAAATCCTGAAAACACTAGCATTTTAGTAATTAAAAATATACGTTTTTGCATAGAAAAATGAAAATAATCTATGAAAAAGTTAAAAGAGCTTGCAGCTCTGAAACAAATGCGGCAAGGCATGTTTTTTATAAGTGTGGGGTGTTGCAATTAGAACAAGTGGAAGATAATGGAATTATGGGGGAAGAGGGGCGTAAACCTTTGTTGAGCCTCAGGCTTACTGTCCCTATTGATGCCACTACCCATGGTGGTCCTCGGGTAAATAATAAAAAAAAAGTTTGGTGCTGATAGCTTTCTCCTCACACCAACACCACAAGTTATTTACCAATAAAGTCTTGTTCCAAGTTAGTAATTGTTGTCAGCTCTTGGTGCTTCCAGTAAACCAATTAAAATATTTAGTACAGTGTGCACTCACCTAATTGTGCTTATGGGGATTGAGCTTTGGCTCTTTGGTCTCACTTCTCAACCGTCAATCAACAGGTGTACAGGTTCTTGAGCCTATTGGGATCTATCATATCTATTCTTAAAACTGTGTATGGGGTCTGTCTCCCCCACATCACTTCCTAATGCAATCCATTTGTTAACTACTCTGACACTAAAAAAAACTTTCTAATGTCTTTATGGCTCATTTGGGCACTCAATTTCTACCTGTGTAGAAATGCCATTCGCCCAGATGGCATCACAGTATACCCCTGGAATAGGGGCAGGTGTGGGACTACACATGTGTATCCACCCTCGCTGACGCCTACATGCACTTTGGTGCTGATCAAGCAGGTGAACAGGAAAGATCAAGCATGTGAACAGGAAAATCAATCAAGTATAGGCGACTGGAAGGTCAATACACCTTTGTTCCCATAGTGTCTCAGACGCATTGCCCCCGGGGTAGAAGCGCCTTGGAATTTCTCAAAGAATTGAGTTCCAGGCTCATTGACATCACCAGAAACCCAAGGGCTGCCAGGTTCTTGTTCCAGCGTCTCAGTGTGGCGATCCAGAGGGGAAACGCCTGGTGCGTCTGCGGTTCCTGTCCGGAAGTGGAGCTCCAAGAGGTTCATAACCTTTAAACCCTCATTGTATTAACTAATGGGCATCTTGCAATCTTTAAATATCTAATAAAGCCCAACAAAACACACAATACACACACACACTCTCTCTGATGTGAGTAACTATGCAGTCAGACATGTATACAAATGAGTTCTGATGGATATACGGTAATTAGGAGCTCAATTGTACAGGCCATTATGGCTTCTGCAGTCTCCTTTATTCTTATGGTGTAATGTGTGTGTAACTATGTTGTACCAACACCATATGTGATATATGAGATAGGCCAGAGTAGCATTTCAACAAAAGGTGATAAATATTTGATAGAACAGTAGTACATGTTAAAGGTTTGAGTCCAAAGTTAATCTATAAGTTTTTATCTGATTTGAGCAAGTTGCTAATTAATAAGTATTCTGTAATGTGTTTAATATTAAACTCTAGGAATATGTTGTGAAATACACAAACAACTTATTATAGGTGGCTTTAACATCAATTTCTATTTAAAAAAAATAGCTGCTACACAATGACCCCTCTGAAAACTACTTCATTCAGGCATTTCAAATTATTAACTAGAAACCTGAATTATTAGGGAGATGTACCAGGCTTTCAAGATTCATCCTTGCCTATTGGGATCCAGAGATGAAACCAAAATTGAGAAAAAAGCTACCAAAAAACATTAGCACAACATAAAAAGCAACTGCTTGAAGAAAAGGTAATAGTGCAAGCATCCAAAGGTAATAGTGCAAGCAATAGTTGCCACAGTGTTAAGAGCCTTACCATGTTGTGCCTGATTACCCCAGGTCACCCAGGGTCCTAGCCATTCCACACCCTTATTCACTCACCTGGCCATGACCTCGTGGGCATGAAATCTCTGACAGTGTGCTCTGCATCATGTTCATGCTAAGTGATGCTTGCTTTCTTATTTTTCCCTTTCCCTTTTACGATTGTGTTTTATGTCACCTACATCACATTTGCCCTAGCTTTCTATTTTGCTCCGACTGTGAGAAAGAGTTCCCTTGGAATTCAGCTTGCATTTCCCCAGCTCCATCAGAGATATCTACACCGAAGGATTCGGGTTCCTTCTCATTGAGCTGACTTCTCTTAAGTCACCTCACTTTCAGGTAATGCACAGAACTTGTTCTCCACTACAAAGACTGTTAATGAGGTGTGTTAATGAGTGGGCCATCAGTCACAAATACAAATAAAATGATAATGAGTATTCTTTATATCTAAACATTATAACTCTTCATGGAGAAATGGTAGCATGTGGGTTTGGGACATCTTAGATCCTAATTCAAGTCTTGCATAACCCATAAAATGTGATTTGTTGTTTCGTATCAATGCAAATCTGATAATGTAATGGGTTTATTATCTTTAACCCACTAAAGATAATAAAAGATATAAGCCTACTGTTAGATTTATTTGGTTTTCATATAAATAATGAAGAAAGGTGATTTAATTATATTTACATACATTATGGGCTATTCAATAAAATGGACTCATATCAGACTCCTAATAAAATTACGGTACAGTATTTGTTAATTTTAAATAACAAACCATTCTTCTCGGGAGTAATGTAACCCTGATCTTGTTTCACAAACACAATACACTATTCAGCTAACATTGTTCATGTGAGACTGAATGTCAATGAAGAGACTGAATGAAACACCTATTTTTCATTCATATTCTGCAATTTTGTGAATAAAAAGATAATCTGGTAATGCAGACTAGTTGTTTTCCATGATAGTCGTGTATAAGTGAGGAATTACAGTAAAATTAACAGCACAGATGATATGATACGGTGACGGTCAGATATATACACCTACAGTAAATACAGTGTATTTGTAAAGTGGTTTGTTTCATTACCCTAACCATACTTATTACAGTACACTAAGAAACAATATTACATCTGTTGACCAAGAAAATACTATAACTATGACCTGTTCAAAAGATATTACAACTCGGGTTTTTAGAAAATATATCTATTATGCAGTTAGTATCTACATTTAATGTTGCACATTTCATATAAATCACATATGCTTTAATATTTGTATGTAGGGATAAATAATGCTCTTTCCATCTTTAGAATTGTGCAAACATGAAGTGTTTGTGAGAAGCAAAATGCAATGTAAAACATAAAAGTCTACCTCTCATTATCATCCACTGGAGCAAATAGACAGTGGGGTTGCACCCTGTGGCAGAGAACTGCTTATGGATATACTCACGAGCTGAATGACTCTCAAACACGACCTATCGTGAAATAATCTTTACTTCAGAAGGCATAATAAGGCTTCATTGCCAAATAAATGTAGAACTTACCCAGAAAGTTTGGCAGTTCTGTTGGAGGCACTTAAAACAATAATGAAAAGTTAAAAATGTACACAACATTTATGGACTTGGGAAAAAGCATGACACAGTACAGAAAGACTTTAAGAGAACAATTAGCATGTATGGAGTTGGCCAAGTGCTGTTTAATGCTGTTAAAATTCTCTATATAGAAAGTAGTGCATGTGTGTAAGAGTCAAAGATGTAATGATAGATTTGACATTAATGTAGGCGTATACAAGGAATGTGTGATGTCACTGGAATTTGAACATATTCAGTACATGGATAGGGTCATGAGAGAGATCAAGTTGGGGATTGAGTGAATGGTATATAATAAGGGATAAGGATGGGTGGAAGAAGTTTATAAGAAGGGATCGAATGAATGTGTATATGCTATATGCAACAATTCACAGAACACTGCACATCTGGTCTTAAGAAACAGTTGGTTTTTGCTGTGGATAACTGCTGGAGTATGGAAGTGCTTGTTTGTGTGTGATGATATATATATATATATATTGTAGGTGATATAATAAATGAACAAGTGAAAATATTAATATTTTATTATTTAATACTAATACTTTTCTTCTGCTAAATTAATTTTTGTCACTTGGCTGATGCCTTCCCACCCCATGAAAGTGGGAAATAGGGTAATAATAATAATATGTTACTGTACTACAGTATATTGTTATTGATATGAAGGATGAACCACCTGACTATCATCCTTACATCCCTGCTCTATGGGAGTCAAAGATGGATATAGAATGAGGCACTTTAATACAACATTCAGTCTACTGAAATAAGTGTCAATGGGGTACTACCTATGCATGTGGCATAGGTAGAGTAGATGAGGAGCCCATAAGTAATTTTCAAAAGAAAGTACTAAGACAGCATGTGGTATAGCTAGACAAGGAAGAATGCCGTGGTACAACTCAGTAGGAATACACATGGGCACAGGTAGGTGAGAGGAGAATACACCTGGTTACAGGTGGGTGAGGGGTAACACAACTGTTTACAGCTAGGTGAGTAGGAATGAACATCGTTACGTGTAGGTGAGGAGCAATGCACATAGTACAGGTGATTGAGAAACAATACCCACACTGCAGGTAGGTAAAGAGAAATATCCCATTGGACAGGTGAGTGAGGGGGAAATACCCATAAATGGTACCTGTAGGTAAGGAGAAATATCCATAGTACAGGTGAGTGAGGAGCAAAACCCATGATTGATTGATGAAGATTAAGCTACCCAAGAGGTGGCACGGGCATGAATAGCCCGTAAAAACCCATGGTACAGATAGGTGAGAAATACCCATGGTAGTTGTAGGCAAAGAGAAATACCCATGGTACCTGTAGGTGAGGAGGGACAAGCAATAGGGATATGTAAGTAATGTGTGGGATGGCAAAGAAAGCAAGATATGTGAAGTATGGGGCAGCAGAAGTGAACAAATATTCTTCAATGGTTGTGACATCTCTAAAGAATGACCGAGGGGTAGGCTTATGAGAAATATAGACAAGAGTAAAGTAGGCTGCAAGAAATTAGACTGATGGGTAGACCGACAGAAAGGGAGAAAGAAGATTACTGTACTTAAGAAATAAAGGCAAGTCTGGCAATGGTATAAAAGATACAGAAGAAGACAGATCATGTTTAAATTTGTTATAAGACTATCTGGAGGCTTTTCTTTTACAGATAAGAGAAACTATTATTCACAAGACTTAGCATATCAAAAGTTTGTAGCTAAAAACATATTCCAACACCTCAGCACACACACACACACACACACAAAAAAAAAAAAAATGCTACCAGAAAATGTTGTCTAGTAATGAGTTGCTGGGGCTTATCAATACTGTTTTGATTTAATGAAGCTTGCGTTACAGCTAGTTACTTCGGTGTCCCTGAGACAAATGCTTAATCATTGGAGTGGAAATGCCCGTTATTTCCAATTCTGAAGATCTATCATCAGTTCTTGGTTGGCAAGATTATGGCCAGATCTTTCGGTACCTAACAGGAATACTGTGGGTTGTTTGCATGTCACACAAATTGTAAATTACTGATCAATATTATGCTGATTTACTGGCTTAGCTTTGCAAAGCCAACTGTGAATAACAATCTTTTAAAGAATTTTGAACAGTATGCTAGTTCAGAAAGACAATTGCACAGGTTACAATTGCTAGTGTAGATTGAAGTACTTGAACAGTCCTAACTAAAATTAATTCTACAATCAGGACATTACTAGTTTGAAGGCACAGAAGTGCACCGATACAAAAGTAATTTCATAAGACATACAACATCCTCTTTACCTCGTTTCTATGTACCTGGGCTGCAAAACATTTTGAATGCCCCCAGAACATCTTCAGATCCACATGTGAGTTAAGTGAAAGATGCAAGGAACTCTTACTGACAGGTTACTATAACTTACATGCATATTTCAAATGCTTCAGCACAGGAAATTTGTTAAACATGTCCAAGCAATCAGGTCAATTTCATGTTGTTTCTCTTCTTGAATATGGTTTTTGTATCCCCAAATTTAGAGAGGTTCTGGTTTATAAGGAAGCATGAAAACCTAAAGAAGTTTGTGAAGGTGGTTTTTCTTAGGTCACAGCTTTGCAGATAAAAGTTTATATTTTATACCGTCAATACAGACAAACTAAATACAAGTATGATTTAGCTAAGCAAGATCTACTAGTTGATGTTAGGTGGGTTCCATTTCTTCTTTAATTTCAGTCTTGATAGAAACTTGGTTTGGTGCTGTGACGACAACATACTTGGTTGTTTGATGTGTAGCTGCCTGCTGTGCAATGGCAGTTGTGGCTATGTTAGCTTGGGATAGGGAACCTGCTGGGAGGCTTCCAGGATTAACTGTAACTGTTGTGAGCCCTGTACTGCAGGGAACGCCTGTATTGACAACTGCAGTTTTCATAACTCCACCCATAGTTTCTGTGGTTACACTCTGTAATAAAATGAGTTTGGATTAAGCTTATGTCAGTATGTTAAAAACTTATAACATGGTAGGGACAAAGATATGGTCTAAGGAAGATATTACTATTAACTACAAGGTGATGCCTTTATATCAACAGAAAAGCTTTGACATTGTTAATGTTTAATTATTTCCAAAATGTTCCAGCTAAAATGATGAACATGGTAAAGTAAGAAAAGTAACATAATTAAAATGCTATTTCTCTTCCCAAACAGAATCAAATACAAAAGGAGAACAAAATGACTCAATTGGTGACATTTAAAAACCCATTGTTAAAAGTAATGAAATGCCTCGTTCTGGATGAGAGCTCAAAAAGCACAAAGCCAAGATTGAGAAAATACAGAGGAATTACATGACAAGTCCCAGATTTGAGGGTATTGATCTACCAAGATAAACTTAAGGAACAATACTTAATGACAATGGAAGAAATGAGAAATAGAGTACAAAGTTCAGACACAAACTAGTTAGAGGAATCAATGAAACAGAGACAATTGTTGTTGGTTGAGCAGGACCAAATGAGCACAAAATTAAGAACACAGATGACTCAACACGAAAAGAAAAATAACGAGCAAGAAAAGGAAAAATAAGAAAAAGAAATTAAGAAAAAAAGGAGCACAAAGGTGGCCACAACCCTGCAAGGTCCTGAAATGAAGTTTGCCAATGCAAGGACAAAGCAGCAGATAAAAACAAGCTGTGCCAAGGCATAAAGGTTATGCCAGATAAGAGGAACCGAGAAACCGAAACTACACGGGGTAAAACTCAAGGAGAGCAAAACCCGATACAGAAGAAAATTCTGTTCCCTGCCGGTTCAGTAAAGCAATATGTAAATCATGTACATAGAAGACAGTGAAACTGTGCACTTAAGAAGCATTTGAAAAACTTTGGTCCGCAGCCAAAGTGAAAGAAAGTATCAGGATGAATCAACTGTCTCTTAAGATGAAGTCTCTCACTAATCTGGAAGCAATCACAAGGAAGAAAGAACCCAGGAAGGAGTGACAGTCGCCTCTCTGTACATGACCAGTGCTGCCATCTAGTGTCGAGTGACAGTGGCAGATCAGGCGATCAGCTAGCAGCTGATAGCTGGCAGTAGTAGAGCATTACTCGGCAGTCTCTTTGATTTAAAGTACAGTACTGCTTAGATGAAATTTTTAGTCTAGCAAAATGAACTTTTAAGAGGCATTCTGGATTTGACTGAGAACTTCCCAATGTCTTCCTTTTAACTGTGGCAGAAGCATTAGAAATGATCACTGTTGAGCTGAAATTGAGAGAAGGATTGTACTGACCTAGGCAAATTTTAGCAATGTTCTTAAGGCAGAGACCAAATGTCTGAATCAGAAAAAGTCTTTAATTTCAAGTCAAAAGTTCTAACCAACCGTTAATCCCATATGGAAAAACCATAATCATGGCAGGTAAGATTAACCCTAAATGTGTGGTCATCGTCATTTGTTGATTACCTCAGCCACCACAAGTCTCATCATTGTATTATTGTTATTATTGCCAAGTTTATATACCAATGATGTTACTGTTGTCGGTAATAACTCTATACGAAGTTAACTATAACTCATGATCAAATTCTATCACTTTGTAATTTCTTACTATGTGCTGAGGTTATTGTGTATTAGAGGTATATGTTCTTTCCCACTAGTGTTTGATCCATGCTTGGGCAACATTTCCAATTAGCATTGCAGCAAAGAGTTGGTTGCAGACGCTTTCTTTGAGCTGTACCAGGAACATAGTTACATGGGTATACATATTACATTGTTTGCCTATTTACCTGATACAGTACTCAATCACAGATTTTTTTAATTGTGAACATAAATCAAGCTATTCAATACAAACACTACATTACGATGAACAAATTCACAAGGGCCGTGATGAAAGTACGAACCTACGTCTGAGAGGATCCCAGACGCACCTCAATCGACTGAGCTACGACATGGTAAAAGAATTGCAACCGGGAATTCAACTTGACCTACCATGGATTCTGCTGTCTTTTCGAGACACAAACTTATTGGCAGAACTCGGGTGCATGGGGTAATTGTGTAAAAACCTGGTTTGTGTCTCGGAGAGACTGCAGGATCCGTGGTAGGTCAAGTTGAACTCCCAGTTGCAATTCTTTTACCATGTCGGAGCTCTATCGTTTAAGGCGCGTCTGGGATCCTCTCGGACGTAGGTTCGAACCCTCGCCACGGCCCTTGTGGATTTGTTCATTTGATGCATTGTGCTATTGTGATTTGTGTGTCTAACTACATTATGTTTAATATATGTGAAACAACAAACATGAAAACATTTAAGGTGAACATACAAGTCCTCTCCCTCTGTACCATTGTGTCAGCAACCCTCATGTGTGTAGCGTCGAAAAATACTATGACCTTGCCACCAGACTTCATCCTACAGCTCACAAAACCAGAAACACAGTTTTTTCTTCTTCACATTTTGTACGTAAATGTATCATTCTATAAAAATAAATTATTATCATTATATTTTGTGTATAGGGGAGATGGCAATTTTAATGAAAGCTGCATTTTGAGGTTTAAAGTGTTCTTATAAGTCGAAGGCAATTATATTTAAGTACAATACAGTACTAAGTAATATTAAAAAGTCAATAAAATCAGGAGGTGGAAAATTTTGCAGTCTCTTGAGTTCTGTGGCAGAACCAGCACTTATTTTTTTGATAGAGGTTATTTTAAACAACAAATCACTTGCCTTAACATCACTTTGACTTATGTATTACTTCATTATAACATTACATTGTTTGCCAAGAGCACTGGAGAGTAAGACAGAAAAGTAAAACAATAAATATTATAATTGTTTAATTAATAATCACAAGTCAAAGCAAAATCCATGCAGCGAGGAAATGGAGTGAGAATAGGACTTTAGGCCTGTGATTTGTGCACTATGATTGAGGGTTAAATTAATGATGAGGAGACCTGGAAAGTTTTTAATTTGTATTACCCCAAAACTTTCCTAACACCTGAAGGAGCCGGTTTGATTCATAATATTATTTTGTTGTTCCCTTTGTCAAGAGGCTTGATGATCATTCATCAAGACTAACAATGTCAAAGCTTGCCTGATAGTTTATAGGTACCATAACAAATCTAATATCTTCAGTCTCCCTTGTAGGTCAAGTCTGAAAACCTCTACTAGTCATGAATTGACAAAAAACGATATAGAAATTTATTTAGAATTGCTGGTATAATAAATATAGTAATAAGTACAGTACAAAACTTTGGAAAACTCATGAAAAACTACTTTTGAAAATTACAATAATTGGTTTAGGTCACTTTGGAGTTAGGTAATCTATCCACAGGAAAAACACACACTCTGCATATGCAGCACGAAGCCTTACTAATTATTATTGAAAATGTCATGGAAAAGAACTGACCTGACTTGGTGTAGGAGGTCTAGAGGTCATAATGATGACTTTCTGGCCAGGCTGCTGTTGAGCTATGCTTGAGGTTGGAGGTTTGTTTACAACCACAGTCCGGGGACCCATTCCACCCATGCCTGGCATAACACCTATTCAAATATCAATCCTCCATTAATAATTTATCGTTCTAACTTTCTAATGGGATTGGTTTATCTGCTTATATATCCCTAGGTCACACCACCCACCTCTACATGGAACAAAATAGGAGTGCTAAGTAAATACAGTGATAAATATTATAAAATAGACAAGGAATAACAATTTACTAAAGAATTCAACACAATTAAAAATAATTAAATTAATATCTTAAAATTAGTTACAGAAAACAGAGAACAAAAGACATACACATAACTTGAGTGCCTTTCCTATTTATACACTATGCTAGATTTAACACACACATAAATCTACATCTCTAATCTACTTCTCCATTTTCAAGCATTGTGCACTTCCTAAATGACTGATCTGCAGTCACTCTCTAACAGAATATAACAGTGCCAATAGCCAAACACTCAAGCACATTTTACCACTATTCTGAGGTGATGACACTTATCTTTTCAGTATTTCTAAGAACCCAGATTAAAACAAGACCAACAAGAAAATAACATTAATACACTTTTACACACTGTAGCCTCACGGGAGGCAGAGTCATACCTTGCTGTATGATACGTGTTGTGGTGGGGGTGATGGCCCTGATGGGTGCAGTGAGTGTGGTGGCCGTGGGTGGCGGGGCTTGACGGGCCTTCACCACAGCCACCTGCAGCTGGGGACCCAGATACCCATACTCAGCTTTATAATCTGCCACAGTATCTGGAGGGTTGCGCAGTGTCTTTAGCACTGGTGCAACAGTTTTCTGTCGGATGATAATATTTTAGTTATGTAACAAAGATCACACACATCTTAGTATAACTGTATATGCAAATCTAATTAAAATATTTATATTTGAATTACCTTATAAAATTTATAAATAAAGGATCTCCAGTCAAAAATATAAATACTGTATACAATTTTTTTTAGTCATCAAGCCATAAACAATACTCCTAATAAATATATTAAATACACAAATTGTGTTGAATATTTTATTTAATTGATAAGTATTTTTTTTGTCCTGAGTGCATACAGAAAGCTCATTATTATATATATAAAAGGTAACACAATTATTATTGAAGTAAAGCAATACATGATATTTAAAGAGTTATCCAATGTTGAAAAAGACTTAAACTACTGTAATGAATTCAGGAAACACTTTAATAAATTAGTAGCTTCTAATTTTCTGTTTTCAAAACCATATATTATATTGTGGGTGAAAAATAAAAACCCTACCTTAACTGGCGAGAATTTAAATATGCAATTGAAATGAAGTTCCATAATCATCACTGAGATGTATTGAGAAAAACTTTTTTGTAGTAAATATGTAAACTATAAAGCCAATATTAGAAGTTTCAGTGCTCTGTGCAGTTTGTCTTACATTGGTGTCCTTGGATGTATGCTGAGACCATGAAACAATAATTACGACACTGAAACATGTACATCAGTCCCTGATTATACAAGGAGCCAGCATGATCTGTGTATTACACTTTAGACAGGATTTCTCTTTTTATATTCATTGATTCATTCAAATAAAACATTTGCTTGTCCTCTTAAGTGCCTTTCAAGGATGGCCAAGATATATATGAAAAATACTCATGGAAGACTGCTTCCTTAGCTTCATTATATTCTAGATATTCAATAAATGTTTGTTAATGGAACAATACACTTTTCTCATAGAGATTCGGCTTCATGGAAGAGACAGAAGAAAACAAAGAGGGAAAAAGAGGGAGGAAAGGAAGACAATGAGAGACAGGAGGAGAGTAAGAGTGTAAAAGTTAGACAAAAGTTAGACTTGTTCCTCTTACCAGCAATAAGCCTTTGATGTGGGAAGCAGCATTTTTGTCATAGGCATTCATTCCTTCCATGCACTGCTCAATTTTATCACTCAAAGCTTTCAGTTTAGGCAACACAAACACTTTAGTAACTTCTGGACCAAGTTCTGACAAACCTGTAAAAAATGGTAAATTATTACTACAGGTAACTCTTATTTTATTATTAATAAATAGGCAACAAGAAACTACACCTAAATGTTTCAATAAGAAAATGGAGAAAGGTATCCCAAGTCCTGAACAAACTATGATAGAAACAGTGGTGTAATGAGCAGAAAGGGTGCAACGAAGTAATGAATGCAGGGAGTTTAATTTCATGATGTGTAGCCTAATGGGTAAAGGTTTGTATTTACTGTGGCCGGTGTAGAGAAAATGAGCAAATAGAATATAAGGGAAATGAAGCAATAGTGCTTGTACCTGTTGTTGAGGAAGTGTTCAGTTTCAGATTAAGGTGGTGGATGAAGAGCTGGAAAAAGGTGGTGATGGTGGTGGTACAAGAGATTACAGAGCAGTGCTTACTGAACAGTTGTAAATATTCAAAATTTTTTCTATCTTCTTTTTGTACTTTACCATATGTGGATGCCATGCCTGAGCTACACACTCATAAGAATGGTCTGACATTGACTGTGCAAATTGTCTTAAAATAATAGTACATGTTCATGTCTCTTAATTACATTCTTATGTCAGCCTGTTTTTCATATTCTGCTAAAGTTATCCTTTTTACATGTACTTCCAATGTCAGGGCTGGTGTTATGTCTACTGTACTCCCAAGTTTTTCTTGTTCCAATTCCAACAGTTACCTACTTCTTATGGTGTAGTTTCCATACTTGCCCAATTCCCATCGTCATTACCTCAGACTTACTAGGGGGAAATCTAGCAGCCATTTGTCTATCTATTCCTGCAGTCTGTCAGGATCTTCTTGCAACATTACAATCTTCCTCGGTTTGTACTTTCCTCATTAAATTTTCATTACTGTACATGCAAAAGGTGGCATGTAGAAATTCAGACCTTCAGTAGCCCATTAACAGAGTTTAGGAAAAGTAATTGAGGGATTTATTTGTTTGTTACAGTTGGTTCACAACTGATTACTGTAGTCCCAGGTTCTATTCCTGCACATGATGAGACATTTAGAATAATTTCTTTGTATATTTTGGGCATAAGCTGATGGAAATCAGCCATGTTGGCTACACCCCTAATGACCTTTATGTTGCTAAACCTATGTTTACTACTAGATGGCATGGTAAACTATTTCTGCTTAATCATATTCCATAGCAAGGTGCAAAGAAGACAAATTTTAAATATACTAATTTATGTAAAGAATTTTTTACTATGCACTATAAAATTAACCCGACTTGTAATCATAAAATAAAACAATTGTAACTATAAATTGTTAATATTTCAATATGTGCAGCCAATGATATATATACAACAGTAAAGAAATACAGATGTTATGCATATTTACAATGATTGTGAAGTATGAAACATGAAAGAATGTTTTGCACGACTTTCTGTATTTTATGCCTTATATTTACTTGGAAATGAAATTATACCCCAGAGAAAAGTGCAGTACAATTTTGGGTTAAAAATCATACTATTAATTTTATATTTTCAAACACACCGTATATACAGTAGTAATAAGCCTACCCACCTGCCACAGCACCATAAACAGATGATAATGGTGTTCTATCTGTGTTTAGACACCTTGAGAAAACTCGTGTGATGCGTGTCTGCAGGCCATTTGTTGTAGTGTTATAATTCTTGCAGATCTGCGAGATGAGACGAGCAGCAAAATCCCTGAGAGCCCAGTGGTTGTCCATGTCGGGTTTCATACAAAGTTGCCGGCTTACAATGCACGTCATTACTGAGGGAACCAGTTCATGCATCTGAAAAATGATAAATATTCAAATAAGGGAATTAGCCCGAACATCAGACAGTAATATAAAAATAACTTTACTAGTTATCCAGAATATGTTAAGAATAATATTATTAATTTTCCCATTATGATACACAGTTATGTACATGCTTGTTTCCCAGTGCAAAAATACTTGATGGGATGCATTCCCTTACTTAATAGGCAAAGTGCACCATTGTCTTTACAGTCACTATGTTTTTGCTTTGTTTAGATGTTGATTGTATACTTTGCTTCGACATGACTTAAATTACATTACAGTTCCAAGCTGTATTAAATTAATGATTTGCTTTAAATTCCTATATGCTGTATAAAAATACTGTAGGTACAAATGTTTTGGAGTAAATGATCCCTCGAGAGAAGTCGATTTCAACTGTCTGCACCAGTTATAATACAAATACTGTACCGAAACAAATTTAAACTGAAGTATATGTACTGTACTGTACTGTGTTATTTCATATGAAAAGTATTAATTTTTTTCCCGGGCTATTCCACTCAGTTGGTTCTGCCTCTTAACCTTCAATCAACAGGTGTACAGTTTTCAAAACCTATTTGCCTCTGCTATATCATCAGTTGAAGCTGTGTATAAAATCAACCTTCACCACTTCACTTCTTAGTCCATTCAATTTGTTCAATACTGTCACTGACCAAATTCTTTCTAATTTTCAATGTAGCTCATTTGGATATTTGGTATTCATCTATGTTTGTGTACCACCCATTCTAAACAATTGATCTTTTATCTATTCTACAAATTACCCTGATAATTTGATATACTGTAATTATGTCTTCCCCTATCTCTTTTGTCTTTCAATATTGTGAAGTTTAATCTCTTTAATCTTTCTTCATAACTTATCCTTATCAGCTCTAGTAACAGCCTTATGGCATATTCTGAATCGTCTTTAGCTTTATTTTGTTTAACAAGATAAAGCATTCTATTAACATATACATCTCAGTGTACTGAATTTCACCCACTCAACAATTCCACATTTCATTACCACATTAAATTCACTTCTATCACTCATGAAATTCACTCATTTCTTTCATTATACATTTCACCTTCTCACTCTCAGCATCTGTGCTACAAGAACATGAGGTACTAGAACATGGAAAACTCACTGGTGAATCGGGAACACAAAATTTTCAATATGAACACAAAAAGAAACTCACTAGTGAAATTTTAGAATGCAAAATGTCAATATGAAAATCAAACAAATCATATAAAATGATTTGTATTAAAAATAATTTGACTTACATATTTTTCCAGATACAGTGTTTGGTTATCGAGGAGAGCCTTGGCCATTCTCATCAAGTAAATAAGAAGGGCCAAATTCTTTTGTACAACATTCACTCGAATACCCTCTGCAATAAAGGTGCTGAGTCGTGGTACCATTTGGTGGAGTCCAGGATCAAATGCCAAACTGTGTAGAGCTTCCTGAAATATGAATATTAGATGCAGTATAAAAATCTGATAATCGAGATTAAATTCAACGTGAATTAACTAATATCGGTCAATGGATTGGGTTGTGGACGTTATAATAAAAATGTTTCGTAAAGTTAATCATCAAGCCTCTGATGCAAAAGGAAGATATAACAGCCTCTGATCAAATATAATATTGTTCTATGTGACTGAGGTGCAAGTAAGTAATTATCAAAGAAAGCATTAAGCTAGGATGGCCATACAACACTGAGTTAACTTGTCTCCAGTGACCAAAAAGCCTCCTCAATGACCCTATTAAGGCCATTTAAAACTTTCCTTTGGTGCTGGTTTCAGAATATTGATGAGCCTCAATGCACGTGATCCTTGGCAGATGACACAGTGGACACTTGCCTTTGAAAGCAATCAAATGTGAAAGTTCAAAAGTTTATGTAAATACAGGTAGGACTCAACATAAAGAACAAGAAATTTTCTGACCCCTCGTTTTGGTTCATCTGATCCTACACATGCTTCTGTGATCTCCTTGTAATATAGTTGCTGCTCAGCTGAAAGTTCATGGGTCGCCAGCTGTTTCACTTTCACAGTTTCAATGCTCTTCATGCCACGCCTAAAAAACAAGAAGGCGTGTTAGTTCATATCGCTATTAGATTAAAATAATACTTATTTTACAAATAAGAATATTTTGGGGCAAAGAGGAATATAATTTTCAAAACAGTTTTACACACTATATCTACAGAAAGTGGATTGATATATAAAGATATTAAAAATTGAACCTACTGTGTTCAAGCACACAGTAGGTTCTTGATTCTGCATTTACAACTTTGGTATTCACAAAACTTACTATCATATCACCTTACAAATATCATGCAATGCCTGCTGCTCCCCTCCCCCCCCCAAAAATAATTAGTTACTGTATATTCTATTCAACATCATTGCTGAGTAAAGAAAGAGGCTTCTTACACTTCTTGCACCTCCACTTACTCAACTGGATTCTGATATTTCAGATCCTAAACTGTAAATCTAAAAAATCTGAATTCTCTAAAACAAAATTTATCCTGGTTATTAAATAATTATTTTATTTACAGTAGCTTCAGGATAATTTGCAAGTCACTTTATGAAACTCATGTTCCGATACAGTACAATGTTACTAATATTCAAGTAACATTACAATTAAGTGTGTAATTGTATACTATATAGTGATATTTTACTATAAGATACCCAGTCACAAGGAAAATCAAGCTCACTAGGAGCTTGATTTTCTCATATTAGACTACATACAGTATTAAAGTTTCTATTACAAATGTCAAAAAGAAAATAATGAAAAGAAAAGGTAATTTCCAGCAGCGAATACCCAGCACAAGAAAACTAATTCAGCTCTCACCCATGGATGTGCTTCTGATCCTTGTTATCCTGCTGAGCCAAGAGCTTAGTAGCTGGGTCCACAGCATCTTTCTTCTGAATATCTTTAGTGATCGGAGGAGGGTTTTCTGGGATTGTAGGCTGCACCCCATCAATGGCAAGCCAATGAGCTGAAAAATGTATACAAGTATAAAGTTCAATTCAAAATTAATATGTGTAAATGCCAGATGTTAGTCAAATCTCTTTATAGACAGGTTCTGTTGGTAATTGTCCTTCATATAACATGTTGAAATTAAAATTGCTCCAATCATGTTTTCAATGACTTTTGTAGATGGTCTTAACATTACAAGAAATAGTTGGAGCATTGGAAAAGGTATTGAGGATATTTGACACCAATTTTTATTGTTTGTTTTCATTTTGAGGTGGCAAGGTTTTCATTCAGGTATGGCCCTGATATCTTTTGAAAATGAGTTTTGAGGATGGAAACGTGAGAAATAAGCTAGATGTGGTTAACTTTTTTGCAGACATGTTCATTTGGTTGCTGTCTATTATAAGTGGAAATTTAAATTTTACTTCAACATTATTCTAACAAAAGTATTGTTAGAATATGAAACTCTAGCCTTCTGGAGAGTAGTAAAGATGAATAGCTTGCAAAAGATCTATATAATAAAGTCAAGAAGGAAGATGTAAGACTTCACTTGATGAATCAACTTCATTGGTGTAATGAATATTGATGAAGTAATCTAGCAGTATGAGAGAGGCCGTCACTCTTTCTAAGTTGAGGACACAAATGAACGGGATGAGGGACTACTCTTTGTTTGATCAACCCCATTTCTACTAGAAAGGCAGTACAGACAATAGATACCAGGAAACAAAAACATGTAGTATGTCACTCTGATTTGAATACTGCACTATGGGCATATTAGGACAAAATACAATTTCTATAGAAAAAATATTTCCAAAATATTTCCCCCACAAAATTATTTAAGCATTATTGTATAACATTAGCACCATTTCAACAACAAAAGTACAAAATGTTACAGTACAGAAACATCACCTCTATTTTATCTTAATATCACTCTCCAAACATTAGAGCACACAGTAAATACAACATACAACTACTGTAGTAGTTTCTTTGAAATACTAATTCTACAAATAACAAAACAAAGTAGGATAATGTCACGAGATCTTGGATATTATAACTCATGAAGATCACTAAATTACGTACGGTAACACATGAAACAATAACTGCAGAACTGAAGGTGAGCATATAATGCATAACCGATAATTACGTTTTATTGTTGTTTGCAAAGGAAGTCTAGGAGTTTGAGATGACACCATGTCATTGATTTCGATTTCCTTGTCTTCTAAAAAATGTAGCTCTCGTCCACCTCCTGATGCAAACCGGAAAGGAATGTGTTCCACAGCCTGTAGGCCATACAGAGGCTGCAAAAAACAAAAAAAGCAAATTTTTAGGACATAGTAAAGCTTCTAACACTCTATATACAGTACAGGGTATACTTATATATAAAATTTATTATTGTACCAATTTCAAATGTTGAGATATAGTATATCTATGCAACTTTACTGTTTCACACCAACATTTTCACACTCAAACTGATCAATACACCTAGGGCATTGCTTCTTGCATGGTTAGTGTGCACCTCTACTCTATCTTACTCTATTCTGTTGGGAGGAAATCATCACAAGGAAGATGAGTCACCATGTGACTTCAAATATAACAGACAACAGTACTTTATTAGTCCCTACTCTTAAAATATTCTACAGGAACTTCTTCTCCATATATATGGAGAGAAGTTGGAGAAGATATATACAGTTTGTATTATATATATATATAAATATACAGTATATTTAAATAATTGTACAATATAATCAAAGATTTTAAATAATGGAGAAGGATATACTGTACTGTATTAAAGATGTCAATTAGAGTTATGGATCTGAGAATGAAATAGATAACTGTGAGATACAATGTGATTAACAGTATAAACTCTATAGCATATAGAAGCCTTACCTCAATATTTTTCATTTTTAGTACATGGTCAAAATCTGAAGTTGCGAAACGTTTACGCTTTCCATGATGCATGTACTTCATACCATCCTGTATCAATATTTAAAATTAGTCAAGAGTATTGCCATCATTTTTATTATTAATATTACTGTACTGTCATTATTAATATTATGATAATTGTAATTTTGCACTATATAATATAAAATTGTAATGATCACTGTAATAGTTTTTATTGATAATTACAGTACTGTATTATTATTATAATCATAATGTATAAATTATCCATGTATTATACAGCATTGTACTTTATGGTACATGTATTTTATAAAATAAGCCACAGTACTAAAATTACAAACAGACACATTTTACCAATGACCATTATCTATCTACCATGCTGTCACTTTACACTATGATATTTTTTTAGAAAATTATTATATAATTAAATTATTTATATAATAATAAAAGAAGACATGATTACTAGAAGGCTTGGACAGTAGAAGAACTGGAATCCTTGCCAGCTACACTCCAGTTAAACAAAAGTATAAATTATATTAAACACAAAAAGTAGTTTAAAAAATACTGTACTGTTTGAGAGTACAGTACACTTTAATTAACAGACTAGTACAGTACTGTACCAGGAAATCCTGTTACTTGCTTGTGAAAATTGTTATGCAAGGTAGCAACTGTGCAAGGTGGTTATGTAACCTGCAAAGCATGAAAATTATAAATCAAATTTTATTTACTGGAAAGCTAAAAGTGTTTTTCTTTAAAAGGATTTACTAGACTAGCTATAATTTATTAAACAATTTGAACTACAAAAATCTTTAATCTACAGTAGTTCAATGTACAGTATCTATATTTGTTATCTTGTGATAAAGGAAAAACAAAGTATATGAGTAAAAATTGGTGAGGGTGTGTGTGTTTTCACTGATATGGACTACAGGGATTGAATTTCAGCTCCTGGGTCCTGTTTCAATCTTCCCATAAGAATGCAGTTTTTCTCTATATCCTTAAACTTTGTCAAGCCCACTTTTGAATCTATTCATAAAGTATGCTTCAACTACCAGTTTCCCCAGATGCTACTCATTTATCTGCTACCCTAAAGTAAAGGTATTCAGTCTAATACAGCTATTGCTGATTTGAATACCAAGTTTCTATTTTTACCCACTTACTCTGGTTTGGCCCTTATGTCTCTATATCTCCAGGTCTGCATCTGTTTATGTTGACTATATATTGTACAATAGGCCTACCTATAATTAAACAGCTTAATAATCTAAATGGTTTAGTTATGCATTCTAAATTTTGCAAGCTGTTGCACAAATTACAAAACTTAATATATGATGCCTTCCCAATTTTTCCACGTCTGCTTCATACGAAAAGTGTGATTACTAAAACTAATCCTAATTTTACTGCATAACCCATTCTAACACATTTATTTATTTATTTATTTATTTATTTATATCCAAGAAGGTACATTGGGTTTGTGAGAATACATAGCATAGTATTTACAGTCTTGTAAAGCCACTAGTACGCGCAGCGTTTCGGGCAGAAACATGAATACAATTAATCAGAAGAAAGCAGAAACATGATACAATTAATCACCAAAAGTGTAACAAATACTTGATAATAGCGATTATGCAAGTACAACACTAAACCCAGTCCCTTACATTATACTCAATACTGCAGGCACACCCACCCAGGACTACTGCACACTGTGCCTAGCCTCTCCCTCATTCTCTCTACTTCAAATGTGTTCGGCCCCTAAAGATCTTTAACCTAATTTAAAAGATACTGGTGGAAGGTTCGTCGAGAAACATCTACTATTTTGTTTATTGGATCATTCATAACTTGATGTTGGGGGAACTATGTGTGAGAGCTTGCAGGTCCACTAACAATCACGACATTAGCTTCGGGTTATTACCTGAATTAAAATCTTTAGTCTGAAAGTGGCGTCTTCTGCGAGTTCTTTGGCAACATCGTCACCAATGGCAGAAATACCAATGCTTTCTGCGATCACTTTAACTGAATCTGCTGGAAAAGAAGGAGAAACTTGACTCTCCTCTGACATCTCCAAAGCGTTTTGTTTACGCTAATATTATCATTTTACGCTAATAAATCTAAGTTGATAATAGTGCTGATTTTGAATATATCTAAGTGCATTATTTACGTAAAAATATTAATTAATTTAGAATATACATTTATTTAGCATTGCTAGCGTAATACATTTACTTAACTTAACATGAATGCTGGTAAACGTCAATATGCTAACATGCTAAATTCTAGCAAAATTAGGCTATATATCTTTTAACAATCTTATATCTTACCAAAATAAATAAATAAAAGACGCTAAAACGAAAAAAATATTTTATTTCGTTAAATTTAAATATTTGAAGATGAAATAAGGCGGCTTGGGCAGGTGGAGGCGGAAATAGAGGAGCGGCTGAGGGAAGCACGGAGGAGACTCTCCCCCCGGCAAGTCTTTCTGTAAACATTGAGGTCCTGAGCGTGCGTTGGCGCTCCCTCCTTGACACTCACGTAAGCTTTTCTCCCATTTCTCCCTCGTTATTGAGTGATCTGAAGGCTCCGGTACAGACCCGAGTCCTCGCAGGATTTATTGATGTGCGTAATGAATTACTGCATGATAAGATGGAATAGATAAACGGAGATGGGTTTTTAGGCCAGGTTGGGCTGCCGTGTATCTAACGACCCGATTTGCTCTTGTTTTTTCAGAAATATGGCGAAGAAAACTGTTCAGTCAACTAGGTAAGCTTTCTCAAGTTTGTTGTTTATTAATAATTGTAAAGTTTTCATTAGATTTTTTAAGTTTTAATTTTTGTTGGGTCTGAAAAAAGTGAAGTTTTTGAAGTAATTGACTAATGTCTTGGACACACTAGTGGTGTTATCCCTGTAAGTCATAACATAAACACTACAACACATTGTTCAGAAGTTATTTGGATCAATTACGAAGCCCAGTATTTCTCGGAGTCCTACAAATGATCAACTCCAGCCTAAATTAATGGTAATAATGGGCTGGTGTTGGGGTCTGGCTTGTAACACGTTGTAGGTCACTTGTAGGGGGACCTCGTGGTCAGCCTCTGGGCCTACCACGCACCTATGTGGGCAGAGTTGTGTTAGGTAAAAAGTAAGCACAGGTGTTCTTGTGTAGGAAAAAAAGCAAGGAAAAGTAGTATGACAAGGAGCCATGAAGCTAGTGTATAAACAAGTGCTAAAAGTAAGGTCCTAACTGTAAGGTCTGTGCTATGTCTTGGTTAAGTGTTGAACCTACCCCAACTTAGTTTAAATGAAGACATTGTCATATATATAGTGTGCAGGAAGGGTCACTATCGCCTCAGAATTATAATACTGAAGTGTTAACTACTTGCTAGTTTGTATGTGGGTCCATTTCCGACAACGGTCTAGCAATAATGACTATGGACATATCCTGACCATTTTTTTATTTTTGACCATTTGTAGCAAGGATAGTTATACTAAACCAAGTAGGAGCAAGATGTCTAAATTTAAAAGAATACAAGAATGAAGTAACTGCAGAAAGCCTATTGGCCAGTATGAGGCAGCTCATTTATATCCACCCAATCATTCGCTTATATGTCTAACCTATGCTTGAAACAATCAAGGGATACTACTTCTATTACATTATGCGGGTACTAGAACAAGTGAGCGGCGGAAAAGTGATGGCACTAGAAGACAAATTTGGTACTGGCATTTTCTTACAAAATGGGTTAGTAAAGATGGAAACATTCTTTAGGCAGTTCATATTTTTCTGGGCTTGATAAGGTGGTTTTAAATTTAATACTTTCAGACTCATCAATAATTCAAAGGAATTTTGCCTGCTATATGTGTGGAAATTTTAATTCTCAACCCACATGCCAGAAAATAGTGACAATGTCTATGTCCATCCTTGACCACCATAAAGTAGTATAAAGAAAAAAGTGGTAGTGGTACAAAAAGTTTATATTCTTACGAAAGTGAGGTGAACAGGAAGAAGGTTGGGAGGTAGTAAAAACAAAACTTTGCCTAATGGCAAAGAAAATGAAGTCATAAAAAAAAGAGAAGCAATGTAAACAGAATACAAAACAATGGGTATAAATTGGATAAGTTTAGATTTAGGAAAGACTTGGGTAAAGATTGGTTCAGTAACAGGGTTGTTGATTTGTAGAACCAATTACCACGTAACGTGGTGGTGGTGTCCCTCGATTGTTTCAAGCGTAGGTTGGACGTGTATATGAGTGGGATTGGGTGGTTATAGATAGGAGCTGCCTTGTATGGGCCAATAGGCCTTCTGCAGTTACCTTTGTTCTTATGTAGGAGAAAGAAAAGACAACCTTGAGGGGCTAAAACTAAATACAGTAGTCATAAATGTGATCTGACTTACCTTTACCCATATAGGCTTTTTCTTTTCTTTCACTTATGTTTTTATCCTTTGTCCATATTTCACTTCATTATCTTTCCCAGTAGGCTTACTTTTTTCATATACAGTACTTCAACAATATTTCTAAACTTCAACTTCTTACTTTTCACCTTGCTTTATTATATATAATATTTCTTTACGTGTCTTAATAATGGTCGAAGATGGACAGCAACATATTCAATTCCTTTATTTCCAGAGGTGTAGGTTTAGTGTCTAATTTTCAGTCGTTATTGTGACTGATCGTCTGCAAAACTTAAAATTTTTTAGTTTATGTAGTGTTACCAATTAACTTGTCTTAATTGGGTAAATATGTATTGAATAATTAGGTATAAGGGTTACCCAAATTTTATTTGTCAAGCAAAATTCCTTCAAATGTTATGGGTCTGCAATAAATTCTTTTATTTTGGGTACAGTTTACAACCTAAATGGGCAGTCATACTGGACCCTCGTGTGGTAAATGTTCTATTGCCACGAGTGTTTGCTTTACAAGTACATTATATATATTTTACTCTTCTCTGCCAAACCTTGTGCAATGTGGGCATCTGACAGCTGGGTGGACAGTGCTTCGGATTCGTAGTCTGGGGTTCGATCCCTGGTGGAGGCGGAGACAAATGGGCAAAAGTTTTTTTTTCACCCTGATACTCGTGTTCACCTAGCAGTAAATAAGTACCTCGGTGTTAAGACAGCCGAGGACTGGGTCGCAGGGTCTGGTGCCATACATACCAGATTGTACGTATGGCACTGTTACTCTTCGCTGGTTCTGTTCTGCATTTTCTAACATACCAATCGCAACATGTGTGATACTGTATCCCTCTCTTTTCCAGAGTATATTTTGAGAGCTTTGAGATAGCCCCAATAATTTAAGGGATTTATCATGCATGTGCTCTGTTATCTGTATTCCCTCTTATTTCAGCAATACAAGATAAAATTGAAGACAAGCACAGTGAAAAGCTCCTTGCACCACTGCTTTTCCTTATTTTCATATCGGATAGAAATACACGCCACAGATTCATAGTCTTTTTTCCAATATAAAAATCAACATGAAAATTACTTCTATTAAAAACATTGAAAAACTACAAGTAGATATTAATAAAGTTTTCAACTGGGCAGCAGAAAATAACATGTTTAATAATGATAAATTCCGAGTACTGTACTTAGGTATGGTAAAATTAAGGACCTTGAACAAAATACAGGGTAAATCTGCCCATAATAGGAAAACTACATGTAAAGGATCTGGGAATGATGTCTGATGACCTAACATTTAGGGCGCATAAATTAACAAATATAGCGTCAGCCAGAAAATGATAGGATGGATTACGAGAACCTTCATATCCAGGAATCCCATCACGGTGGTCACATTTTATCACTTGTGCCATCCCATCCAAGTAGTGCTGGATCAACCGGGCTGTAATGAATAAGTGGCCCTGTGTTTACAGTTCACAGATAAAGGCAACATTAAAAGAAATAGTTGACCTTGGAAAAGCAACCGAGTATTTAAAACTAAATATAATGGTTCGTTTTTATTTCCAATTGCAGAGGTTTGCATTCGGTAAAATATAGACCTGTTATCCTTTGAAAGTGAGATTCAAGGCGTGGGCATGGAAAATGTGTTAGTGATTAATTCTCAATACAGACGGGTTCTCTTGGTGGTTGTTCTTAATGTGATAGGTGAAAAACCTGTGTGTTCCACCTGCTCCCAGAGACTTTCATCTTCATGGTGGAATTTAATATGCTGTTCAGCATCTGCCTTTTCTTTTTATACTCGACTGCATTGCTCCATTTAGTCGTACACCTTCTAGTAGAATGTCCTAATTTTCAAGAGAATCGTAAATCTTGCTTTCCTAAAGGATCTAGGTCACTTCTTGGTGGAATTCTTGATGCATTAGATACCTTTGATGTTGCTTGCATGTCCTTTTGTTTTTGTAATGATATCATGAGTAATATTTATATTTCCCTTTCAATATCCTGCAACAGATGGTGCTATATAGCCTCTTTAATGGCGCATTTTGATAATTGTATCCAATTGATTTAAAGATCTCTTATTTACACCATTCCACAGGTTCTAACGACCAAAATTTAGATTAACTGGCGCCTTATTTAAATGGTCATTGGCGATTACATCCAGAATACGGTATTGAGTTTACAGTCCATGTTAAACTGGAGGCCACTATTGTTTGTTGTGACAATCTTGCCTTTGCTAGGCCAGCGGTTAAATTTTCCCTTTACAGGTTTCACTGCTGTGCGGCATGTAAAGAGCTAGCCACTCGTGCTTATATATCTAACTAGGATTTCCACTACCATCTCAATGTTCAGTAATAATGGAAGTGTGTAAATTAATACTGTTTAGTGATGTTATTTATTTATATTTTTTGAAGCCATTGAAAATGCTATATTAAAAACTTAGGTTTTTGCAGAAATAATAGCAAATTTTATTTTGTTTACAGACTTTATGCCAAGGCAGTTTTTACTGGGTACAAGCGTGGTCTCCGTGCACAACATGAAAACACAGCGCTGTTGAAGGTGGACGGTGCCAAAAACAAGGGTGATGGTACCTACTACATTGGAAAACGATGTGCTTACGTGTACAAGGTAATTTGTTATGGAAAACTTATGTTCCAACTTTGTTCTTTTGTTATGTTCCAAAAGTTTTCTTTTTGGGAAATTAAAAAAAAAACGGCAAATGCCATGTTTTCTTTTGGGAAGTTAATACATTAATTTTATGGAATGATTAACTATTAATTACTGTAATACATTTCAGTGCAAAAACAAGACCCCTTGCCCAACTGGTGGCAAATCAAAGCTTCGTGTGATCTGGGGAAAAATTACTCGCACTCATGGTAACTCTGGAGCCTTGCGTGCTAAATTTGCCCGATCCCTGCCAGCTTATGCAATGGGAAGGAGAGTCAGGATTGTAAGTATGCGATATTTCAACCTATCCTCCTGTTGAGATAGTACCTTTTATAACTGGACCATCGTACTACAGTAGACAATTAGTAGAATTTGGTACCATTCACTTTACAAGTCTAAAAATATAAGGCTAAAAACCAAACCTTAATATTTCTAGGCTTTGTATAGCACATATATGTATCTTTTAAACTAAAACCCAGGCCAGGTGGATAAATGGGTTGCTACCATGCCAACCCTGGTTGAAAGAATAACATGTAAATTTTTTTTATAATTTGTTGAAGGTTGGTATAGAATAAGTTAATATTTGTGGGCTACATTGCTGTCCCTTTATTTTCAAAATTTGCAAGCATGTTATGGCGTGTACAGTATTTTACAATGTTAGGATTATAAAAAGTAATTGCATTACATATGATTAATCTAAATAATTTTTCTTTTTACAGATGATGTACCCCTCCAGAATCTAAATTAAATAAAGAATAAAATTATTAATTCTTTGATTTGCCAATTCATTTATATAAATGTTTCATTCTTGTATAAATTTTGAACAAATGGATACAGTAACTTGCCTGCTGTTCCTCTCGTATTGAGCAGGCTTCCTGTTGCAACAATAGTTTAGCAGGATATTTCATAATGTCCCTTAAGAACATTGGGAAGAATCCTCGGTCACTTAGTTATTGCTTTACATCCTTTTGTTCTCTTATTGGGATCCAGGATAAGTCATTTGAATCCCGCAACACGGGCTGTTCTAGTCTTCCTGGCTTGGTGCCTTTTAATAATTACAGTACAGGTACTATACTTTATTCTTTAAAAGTTTGATTTTTTTTTTCTAAATAACTTTGTGGAGGATGAGGAAAACTTTAATAAAATATATTCTGTACATCTTTTACTGAAATGAGAACATAAACAGATTGTTTTTATCAAAATGGTTCTTCCATTGGTGCAAGATGTATTAATATTCGAGGCAAATATTGGGCAATGGAACAAGAATTGCTTGTGAAGACGATTTTATTGTAATAGTTTCTATACATGTAAATGGGCAATTCTGTTTAAATTAAGAAAAGTTAATAATTGTTGTGGTTACAGAAATTTGATAGTGAAATATATATTACAAATTGATTAAGGATAAATGAAAGTAAAAACACGATTTGGCCTATAAGAAAAAATTGATACAAGTTGGTTTTAAAACTACTATACATTATATTTTTTATTTGTTGAAAAGCGGGTAAATTGTAAATCAATGTTTTGATATGCAGATTTGAGCCGTTATGTATGCACATTTTTTGCTCCCTAAAAATGCAATATGCAGCTATATTATCTGTAAAACATGTTTTTAATTGCATTACGTTGGGCAAAGTGCAAGACTAGACTAGTTCTGATATATGGGAGTAAAGAGAACGCATAGATCAAGTAGTGATGACCCTCACACTAGCAAAAAAGTGGCTGACTGAATCAGATTATTTAACATTTAAAAAGTCTGTAAATATACATATGAAGAAATCAATGGCTATCTGCAGTTGTCATGTTAAGGCTAAGCTTTCTTCAAGCAAAATGAAGGGTAGCTGTACATAGTGACAGATACAGCCTGTGGGAATAGTTCAACCCAGTCTCCAACAGCAGCTATATTTGCACGTTTGTCCAAATAGTTGCTACATGTGCTATCATTTTAGTAGGATAAGTTGGGATATTTATAGTTGATGGTGCCGAGTAATGTTCACATTCTAATTTGTGGTAAATAATTTAAAAAAAAATACTAGTAAATCAAACCTTTTCATTGTTATCCTAGTGTAATAAGCTTTTTTTATTTTCTTTAGAGGTACATACCCAACTAACCAATTGGACGGCAGAGCGACGCCCTCGCTTATTGCAAGGTTGGCATTCGATCATACCCCTTTCCAGTGTTCAGTCATACTGGCTTAGTGCTTATCTTAATTATCTATTGCCTTGTCTTGGGCTTAATATTGACTAGGTTATCCCAACTGTCTCAGACAAGCTGGCACCAAGTCTTCAGTAACGTTTCAATTACTAATTTAATTGCATAAAACGGAATATGATGGTATTAGGATGTGGGGTATAGTGTTGGGGCTGCAATGTGTGAAAATCCTGAATGTCAAACTAAAATTATATTTATTTGTTTTCTACCTTACATAATTGCTTACTCGTGCAAATTTACTAGATGCTATTTGATTGTCTCTGTTTGCTATTACTCCCTGCTCTGGTGAAGAAGTTGCCAATGACTTTTGATACTGCAGAAGATAGCACACTCTTTGAGACCTTTGGGTTAGGTTGTGGAAGTCTCCTGATTAGCTGGAGTGCTCTGGCCTCCTTCAGCAGAGAGTGGAATGCTAGATGAACTCCAAGCAGGGAGTCTGCTGCAGACACCTCATAAAACTGGCAACTGAACTCGAGTGATAAAGCTTCGCCCTCGTCAGTCCACACACACCTGCAAGAAGGTACATCGAATAATTTTGTGAAAATATATTAACCAATATATCTGGTTAATATTACATTGGTATGTATACTATAAATCTTTTTACATATACTTTATTTTTTATTTTTTGGGTACCAACACTGGTGCAATTGTAGGGACCCCATAGCCTCGAAGAAAATAGAGCACTCAGAGAAGACCTTGTGGATGCAGGCGATGAGTCACAATAACGTGGCTAAAGTATGTTGACCAGACCACACACTAGAAGGTGAAGGGACGTCGACGTTTCGGTCCGTCCTGGACCATTCTCAAGTTGATTGTCAAAATCGACTTGAGAATGGTCCAGGACGGACCGAAACGTCGTCGTCCCTTCACATTCTAGTGTTTGGTTGTGGATCCTCACTGAACACTGATTTTCTTCTCCTACCACTCCTATTTTTTTTTGTAAATAGGGACCAATAATGAAACTGCTATTTCATCTATATTTACAGCAGGAGCAGCAGAATTAAATGTTAAAATTGAGAAAATGCAACTAAACTAGTAAAAATTATAATTGTAGACTTAAATTATATTTGCCATAATATGGAGCTTTAAATGCCAAGGAACAAGACTAAGGATATCTAGTGTTGGCACGATAATTCTGTTAATGTGTAAATAATATAATGGAATTTAAATAATTGTAATTAAATATGCAAAAGATTAAATGTTTGCTAACGCATGTAATGCCTTCTATCGTGAAATAATATTCCTGAACACGTATGAAACACAAACTCCAGTTAATTGAACCATGAAGTTAAAACGTTGTGTCTACTTTCAGGGAATAACACTCTAGCCCTTGTACTTAACCATTTCTAATGATGTGCATGGTGTCTCACTTACCTAAAGTGTTCCAAGTCTCGTTTATTGCCCAGAAGTAATGTAGTGTGGCCTTTCAGGTGCTTATGATCTCTTGCTTGACTATCAGGGCTGTCGTCCAGATTCGGGTGGCTGTACTCTGGACTGTCTTCTTGTGGGTCACTACCATCAGGTTTGTCTTCTCTCGACTGACTGTGGTCAGATCTATGGCGTTGCCGGTGTTTGTGGCTGGGGTTATGATCTTCCTGGTGGCTATGTTTGAGGCTCTGGCCTCTCAGGTTATTATGGCTGGAGTTACTGTGTTTATTGATGTGATAATGTGCGGGATTGGTATCTCTCACGTGACCATGATTAAGGTTATGGTTGTTAAAGTGACCTTCGTCGCCGTTGTGTCTGTTTGGGTGACTATGGCATGAGGTATAATTTCGTAGGTGACTATGGTCAGCTGCAATATAATTGTTGCTAATATTGTTGGGGCTGCAGTTTAAATAATTTTGATTGAGGCTATGAATTCTTGGTTCACTACGGTCATGGCTATTATTTTTCAGGTGGCTGTGACCATTTCTATGACTTTTCAGATAAACATGACCAGGGTTGCAGTCTTCTGGGTGACTACGATCAAGGTTAAGATATGCAGGTTGATTATGGCTAGAGCAGTGGCCTCTTGATTGACTGTAGATAGGGATGTTATATCTCTGGTGGCTCTGTTTATGTTTATGACTTTTTGGATGGCTGTGATTTCTCTGTTGATCGTGACTGGAGTTTAGGTCGATTTGGCATGAATGTGGTGCATTTATGTATGCGAAGCTTCGATTCTCACAGCCTAGTTTGGTTTCGCAGCTGGTATTTGGTAGGTGAGCTTGAAAATTTTTTCCACATGTATCACGATCTGATTTCGTATCTTGATCATGTTTAATATCAAATACACTAGAATGAAATGAACTTAATTCAGCCGCATTTTCAGAGTTTTGGCTACTATTGTGGACGTTACGAGTATTAACACATTCATGTTTGTTAGTGTAGTGATCGTGAGTGTTGAGCTTACGGCTCGTATACGCGTGATGACCGCGCTTATCAATAATCCGATTTTGCTTGATCGTATAATTGTAGTTACTTTGACAGTGATGCCTGTAGGCACAAAGAGAGTTATTATTTGTGTGATGCCCATAGCTGTCGAACTGATGACTGGTTACACGTCGATGGTAGTTTGGGCGATGACTGGTATGGCTGAGAGGTTGGCTACAGGTGTCGGCGGTATGCGAATAGTCCTGAGCTTGACAATAATGATTGGGGGTGGCCAGAGACGCTTCTGGGTTCATTGCCACAGATGAGGTTTCTGTGTTAGAGTATCTACAGCTCGACTCCATACGGCTAACATTTAAAGACTGTGATACAGGGTGATTGAACTTTAAATAGGTGGGATTATTTTGGTAGAGACTTTTAGCACAGTGGTTGTAAACGCCATGGGTGCTCCAAGTTGAGGTATCGTTATCACTTCGAGTATGTGTCACACCGCCTTCCAAGGTGTTGATGCTATGGCTATTCAGGATATGTGTATTCAAGCCACTTCGATTGTTTGTGTTGTGTCTGCATGATACCTGTGCATTAGAAGTACTCTTTTTGTGCGTGCCATGATAATCTGGAATGTGTGTGTCAAAGACACTTTTAACAAGTGTGTCATGACTACACACAGCATAGGAGTCATGGCTACTAAATGTGTATTCATCATTGCCATTCTTAGAATGTATGTCAAGGCTACGTTGTGGGTGTATGTCAAGTACACTTCCAGTATTTCCTTCACGGTCACTTGAAGCATGCGTGTACGAAAGAGCATGGCTGTGAGTATGGAGAGTGCGCAGCAGCTGTTTGGCATGGATGAAAGAAGTGCGGCTAGTGACATCATACACCACAATAAAGGCATCAGCCCAGGCCAAGTGACGAAGAATCTGGTGAGGAGTCTGAAATGTAAAATATATATATATATTGTTTTGTGATTTAGTAACTTATTTCTATAGTTGTATACGGCTTTCCTTCAAGACATCTCATGAACTGAAATATTTAATGACCAATTGATTTAAAAGATAAGCAGAAATGTGTATGAATTGTCTTCTACTTCAAATTCATCTAAGCATTTTCGTTTAATGATACTTTTTAATTCTATTTGACACCCAAGATTGTCAACAATGTCTTAATTTTTCTGCAAGCTTAGCAAGGGCGTTAGCATCATGGTGGTGTTGTAGCCTGATGTGAGAAAGGGAGCCACAATAATTTAACTTTGACCCCCTTATTAAGTATGCATATATTTATGTCCGGCTTCAGAGACAAGCACGATATATAATTTCATTGTAAACTATTTAATGCTAGCAATGAGAACATGTATCTGAGATAATTATGCTGTTTTTGTCATATTTTAAATAATTGTGAATGATACAAGTGCACTGTACAAGTACACTGATATTTTACTTCAGTTCTAGATTATGTTCAGGACTAGTTTAGTTGCTAACCCAACCTGTCCTCATACACCAAACACCGCATTTTGACGTCAAAATACTAAACGAAAAATAAAGGTGTATTATAGTATGAATCAGAGAGGCTCACAAACATTCGCGTTTTCTAACAATGGCCTAGGTTACGGCAGGTCGTTTTAATACGCCTTTCTCTGTTCGTTGTGGCAATTCAAGAAGGCGAGCTGGCTGCTTGGTTAATAAGCTTATGTCATCTCCTCTCCAACCCTTTTCCAGTCTATATGTCTTAAGCCCAAAATCAAACCCATTTATTAACCTTAAAATTTATCTTAAAATCTATAAACGCTAAATTTCTCGGCAAATATTCCTGTATTATGTATCCAAAAATAGATATCTACTAATATATATATATATATATATATATATATATATATATATATATATATATTTGTCTGTGACATTCATCAATGTTTCCCATTGTTGTGTTTTTCAAGAGATCCATAACCTTTAAGCACCTTTTTGCATTATTATTTTTGTATCAACCCATGTATATCTTGTAACCATCAAATGCATAATAAAGCACAAAAAATAAAAAAGGAAGGGGGTGGTAGGAGAAAAGCACACAGAAACTGTATTGGAGGGGATCTAAACATTCCCTCTAATGCGTTATGCGTGGTTTCCTCCGAGGCTATGGGTCCCCCTTCTTCCAGCTAGAGGTGGTACTCCCTTCTATATATTAATAAAAAAAAAAAAAAAAAAAAATATATATATATATATATATATATATGTCGTACCTAGTAGCCAGAACTCACTTCTCAGCCTACTGTGCAAGGCCCGATTTGCCTAATAAGCCAAGTTTTTATGAATTAATGTTTTTTCGTCTACCTAACCTACCTAACCTAACCTAACCTAGCTTTTTTTGGCTACCTAACCTAACCATACCTATAAATATAGGTTAGGATAGGTTAGGTAGGGTTGGTTAGGTTCGGTCATATATCTACGTTAATTTTAACTCCAATAAAAAAAAATTGACCTCATACATAGTGAAAAGGGAAGCTTTATCATTTCATAAGAAAACAATTATAGTAAATATATTTATTCAGGAAAACTTGGCTTATTAGGCAAATCGGGCCTTGAATAGTAGGCTGAGAAGTGAGTTCTGGCTACTAGGTACGACATATATATATATATATATATATATATATATATATATATATATATATATATATATAATCAATTATGTAAGATCTATATGATATACCCAAAAAGCTGTACGTATGGGGTCCTTGTGAAAAATCATTACAGTAATATGCGTATAAACTGACATTGTTATGCTGCGGCAGTGCATGGCGCGTCCCAAACACCATTCATCTATTCTAATCCTTAGGCAACCCGTCCTCGTGCTGTGCGTTTCTTTCATGTGGCCGTTTCCAAAGGTACATACATACTTTTGTTTAATGCGGTGTAATAACAAAAAAAAAACATTTTTGTTTATATATTAATATTGTATAGTATGATTTAGCGCATGCTTAGGCTATGGTGTTTTGGTTTTAATTATTATTTATATTTATATTGAGTAAAGTTAAAATAACTATCCAGCTATATGTCTTAAGCCCAAAATTATTCACCCTTTCAAGGCAAAGGGTGAATAATTTTGAAAAGTGCAATTAGGACATATAGAATAATCTAAACCTGGGAGGCTATACTCATGAAACTTCAGCCGGCAATGGATAATTTACTTTATTTCTGTACTATATTTTTTTATTATTACTAGAATTTGAGCTAAAATCATAGTCCTGGTTTTTCTTGTTTATTCCCGCATATTAAGGCAAGAGGGACAAGGTTGTGAGCCCGTCATGGAGGACGGAACACGCTCTCTTCCATCATTTAGTCCGAAGACGGACGACACAAGAGCGCTCAACTTCCCTCCTGGGGTCGCTGGAACATGCAATCATTCCCCCCACGCAAAGGTAATGTCCCAGGGAAAGTAACACTCACTCCGAAGAGTGTTTACGCACATGTCGAGTGATTTAAACATGGAAGCAGAGGTATGAGACTGAAGTTTCAGCCCCGCTCCTGTGCCAGGTAAGTCCATCACGGGCTCACCATAGCCCGTGCTACTTGGAACTTTTAGTTCCCAGTAACTGAATCTTAAAACAACGTGTGAGACTGACCTGTGCGGTGGCGGCGTCAAGGAGGTGCAGGTGGGCCACCTCGTGGTCCACTGTAGTCTCGTGCTGGTACATCATTTCTGCACAGGAAGGGTGTCTTAGTCTCATAAATTATTATGCTTTCAATCAAACACATCAGCATTTACTCTATATTACGCACACAAAGATTGATTCAGACTGGTATGGATTGTTGTAGCATTACAGATGCCAATTGTCACAGAAAAAAATTAAATTCTGTACAGCATGTCAGTAAAACTAATAAGGAGCACTAACGATATATATATCAATATTACTATTATGGCAGTATTTACTGGCTGTACATAATTGGGGGGTTATAGATAGCTGCCTCGTATGGGCCAATAGGCCTTCTGCAGTTGCCTTTGTTCTTATGTTCTACATAAGCCAGAAGTGGAGTCTTGCACCAAGGACCAGAGTATCATTCCACCATCACTTGGGTCTATCTCCGGTAACAGTCTAGATATAGACGGCATCACCTACAACGGTAGGTCCCCACATCGAAACTTATTCGAATGAGGCTAATATGATACACAACAAACAGAAACCTACAATCATCGTGTACGATATTTATGATTGCCAGTGACTATCGTAAGTAAATATCACCATACTGGCATGGGCATGCCAGTAACAACCTATCCACCCAGCAGTGAATGGTTACCTGGTTATTAAACGATTTGCCGGGTCGTATTCCATGAAAAATTAGGATTAAGGACCTGCCCGAAATGCTATGCCTGCTAGCCTAAGCTGACCCAACCACAACTAGATCTGTCACACAGTTTTACTCACCTGTGTCGGAGCTGTACTCCCCAATGTACCGCCTCGTCAGGAAACGGACGGCGATGGCTGCAACAGAACACATTATTAACTGCTAAGAAGATGGTGAGTAACAGCTTCAGTGAGGGGAATGTGTCATTTCGCAAGGTCAGTGGCTGGCATACCAGTTTTGACGTCTTAAAACAGAAAGTAGCTGAGGTATACATTTATAATTTGGAAGTTGACAATTACAGTCAGACTGAAAAACAGATACATAAAGTCAATGCTAAAACTAGTGATCGAAGTATACATTAAGAATTTGCAGTGATTTGGAAGTTAACAGTCAAGGTTTAATGAAGTAATTAAGACAAGTTAGCAGATTATAGTTATGTAAACAGGTACTTGCTTTTAACATTCAGATAATGACTACTGTATACAACATTACTACAGTACTTGGGAAAAGTGATGGTAATGAGAAATTATATTGATGAATGCTAGATTTTAAAGAGGGGGGTTAATAATGCTGCTTGCATGACAAACAGAATAACAGTAAATGGGGTACTTTAGTAAGTCAATTAACCTGAATAAGGATAGTCTAGATTTGCCCCTTCCAGGAATAATATTACTATTATTAACATTACTATCCTTAAATTCCTCTTGTGATTCATAAATATTTCATGTATGTGTAGGATGAAGTACATGTATCTTTCTATAAATCCTATCTTTTTTTACACAGATGGATACAGTAGAGAACCTACGACTCATGTTAGCTGGCTATCTACTGGAAGCAATTGTTTAAATAAGCATTAACCCACAATATTCCGACCTTTGTCGTTTGACAAAATATATTGGATCTTTTGAGGTTCCTGAGCCTACTGGGCTCTATCATATGTACATTTAAAACTGTGTCTACCTCCACTATATCGCTTCCTAGTGCTATCCCTTTGTTTACTACTCTGACACTGAAAAAATATTTATAATACCTCTGTGGTTCATTTGGGTACTCATTCCTATGTTCACTTGTCAGAGTACCACCGGTGTTAAATAGCTGTCTTCATCTACCCTATCAGTTCCTCTGAGAATTTGTTATATGGTAATCATGTCTCCTCAAACTCTTTCGGTCTTCCAGCGATGTGAGGTTTAATTCACGTAACCTTTCCTCGTAACTTATACCTTTGAACCTTCTCCAACTTCGTCTTGTCCTTGATTTGGAATGAACTACACGTTGGAGCCGCACACCCCAGGATTTGTCTTGACATATGTGGTATATACAAAGTTTTAAATGATTCCTTACATAAATCTCTAAATATAGTTCTGATGTATAGCCAGTCTCGCATGTGTCGGTCATGATATCCTTTTGATGTGCTACTGGAGACAGGTTCTGTGTAATATCAATCCTTAGATCCATCTCTCCATTTCATGGATAAATTCAGCTCCCATTTGTTACTTTGTGTCTGGCCTCCTGCTTCCTCCACCTAGTTTCATTGCTTTACATTTACCTGAGTTAAAATGAGTTAACCTTTGTAACCATATGTTGGACCAAAATCGTCTTAAGATACTTTGTTTATCTAGGTCATCTTGTAACCTCTTGCCGTCTTCCTCTGTCTTAATCCTTTTCATAATTTTCGCATCATCAGCAAACATTGAGAGGAAGGAGTCTATTCCCTTCGGAAGATCGTTTACATATTTGAGAAACAAGATACGTTCAAGAACTGAACCCTATGGGACTCTTGCTAGTGACACTTATCTACCCTGAGATCTCACCCCTCACAGTGATGCAATGTCTTTTGTTGCTTAGGTACTCCTTAGCACTTGAGTTCACTTTCCTGCCACTCCTTCCTCTGTGTATGAGAGTGAAAGTGAGTGAAATAATTTATCTGTTTGCGACTTTGGTTCTCAATCTTCCTTTACTTTTAAACAAGTTTTCTATGCTTTTTGCGCACACAGGTTCATTCTGCAGTGCATTCCGGCCGTCCACAACGCAGGAAAATTACTCGCTTACGTGCCTGGCGTGTGCTTGTGTGAAGGCGGGGGAAAGGGATAAGGGGCGGTTGCGTGCGGTCAGTGATGGAGAGGGCGAGGGTGGTGGAGGTGGAACACCGGTCAGACGACATCGTCAGCGGGTGTTGACCTGAGACGCTCCTCCTCGGCACCACCCACACCCACCTCAAAATACAGGCAATATGCTCCCCTTGCACTAACTAGGTAACTAGGCAACTAGGCTTCCAGTAACTAGGTTTCCACTAACTAGGTAACTAGGCTTGCACTATGTAACTAGGCTTCCACTAACTACGTAACTAGTTTCCACTAACTAGGTAACTAGTTTCCACTAACTAGGTAACTAGGCTTGCCATAATTAGGTAACTTGGCTTGCACTAACTAGGTAACTAGGCTTGCACTAAGTGACTAGGCTTGCATTAACTAGGTAACTAGGCTTGCACTATCTAGGTAACTAGATTTGCATTAACTAGGTAACTAGGCTATCACTAAGGGACTAGGCTTGAGGTGAGTAGGTTACATGAACACTTAAAAGTTGTCCAGACTATTTTCGTCATGTAGCGAAAAACTTGAAATATGTGATTTAATTAAACTGTGAACTAGTGTCGGTTTTTATTCTATTAATTATCTTAATTTGGCGTCAAATAATCTATGAATGTGTATAATTCAAATTTAGATTTACTTCTCAAAATTTGTAACAAGCTTTTGACAGTAGGAGAATTACGAATGCGAGACATAAGCTTATGTACTCTCTTAAGATTGTATACTTCGTACTGAGAAGCAGAAACAAACCATCTATTGCGATGAAACTTGTAGAGTATAAAAATACAGTAAAAGTACATGAGCATTAGTGGTGTATGTCCAGTAGTAGTTAATAATGTTGTATAAATAACGGTAGAATTACCATCATGAGCATCGTAGACGGTTGTAGTCTACTGCTACAGTGACTACAACCATCTACATTAGTTGTAGACCAATGTCTACAACAATTATAGTTGTAGACTGGTTGTAGTCTACAGACTTGATTGACTTCTATGACAGGGTCACCAAAATAAGACCAGAGAAAGGAGATTGCATCTTCCTAGATCGCCAATAAGCTTTCGATGCAGTTCCTCACAAAAGACTAATATACAAGATAGAGAAACAAGCGAGGATAACAGAGAAGGCACTGGACTGAGTATAGGAGTACTTGACAGACAGGAAACAGAAGGTCATAGTCAGAGAGGATATGTCAGGTTGGATAGGAGTGGAAGTGGTGTTCCACGGGGCTCTGTCCTAGGACCATCAGTACACGGGGAACCAATACACGGAAAGATCCCTCCCACATAGTACACGGGAAGAGATGACCTTGCCAGGCGTGTCTCTCCCTGTCATTCTTGTCTGTTACGAGGGCAAGTTCAAGTAAGTTTATCGAGACAATAAGATACATCTCAAAATTATAAGGGTAGACGTCGTGAGGCAGTATATGCTGTCCCTGCTCGACACATTAATTAATCTTACCACACACTGGCGCCACACCCTCCACACTGCCATAATTAACACTCATCGCGCCGCACTCCCTTCCCACCATCACTCCACATCCTCAGTCTGGCCACATTCCAATGTTGTAGGCCTACTTTGGCAGTAAAAAAAACTCCCACTACATCCTCAACTTTCGTACATATTTACGCAGGTTCAACATAGATGTAATGTATGCCCTAGACATTAACAATTCCAGGATCTTTGGATTTTATAATTGGCAGCTGGTGCCCGTCAGTCACCCTGGCAACACCCATCATTTGGAGAGGGCAATATTTTGTAGCAACTGCAGGACCGGCCGTCACACTGGCCAAGGAATGCTCTCACCTCTGACCTCGGTGTTTACAACCCGTGGTCACCCCGCCATGTCTTCCATGCGTCTCTGAAGGCTGAAAATGTTCCGTCTCTTTAATTCCTATTCATTTTATGTTATATATTTAGGCTCGCTGAGTATTTTAACAGATGAGAAGAGTATTTTCTTACTGAGTTTTAGTGTTTAGGGTAAAATTTAGTGAAGTATTTAGGGTTGGTAATATGTCGTGCGCGAGGCGACACCTCCCAGTTGGCTTTGTTTACATCTTACCAACCGTGACGGTCACACCCACGCCGACCACTTCATCTCTTCTCTAGCAACATAAACCTCTCTCTCTCTCTCTCACACACACACACACACACACACACACACACACACACACACACACACACACACACACACACACACACACAGCTCCAGCATGGACTCCGTACCTTGTGAAGCACAAGACGAAGGTAGAGAAAGTTCAGAGGTATGCAACCAGATTAGTATCCGAGCTGAGGGGTATGAGCTACGAGGAAAGACTACTGGAATTAAACCTCACGTCACTAGAAGACAGAAGAGTTAAAGGAGACATGATTACCACCTACAAGATTCTCAGGGAAATTGTCAAGATAGACAACAACAAATGATTGAATTTACCACGAGTGGTCCTCGCACAGCGGGGAAACAGGTGGAAACTTAGTACCAAAATGAGCCACAGTGACATTAGAAAGAATTTTTCAGCTGAAGCTCAGGCCTGTGATCATGACTAAACTAACATTATCTTGCATGTTGTGATCTGTTGAAGTAGACATTCCACGGCCAAGCACATTACCCTTTTAGACATTGGGCTTAGGCTTTAGGCATTGTATGTACTAGCTCTATCTATAAATCTATCAATTTTTGTAAAATCTCTTGTATGTATGTACCTTACCTGAATAAACATTTATTTATTTTATTTATTTAGAGACCGTTCTTGGTAATTTCTTATTATCAGTAAAATGGATCCTGATATAGAATGGATCCTAGTGCTTGAAGCTTTCCTAGAGTGCAGAGTGCCATATACCCCATCAAAGACTCGTGCAATATCCAACGCAACAACACAACCTGTTTTTGAATCATTCAGTGCCTGAGACCACGCAGAGAAGAGGTTTAGTAAGAGGTCAGCAGCAGAACATCCTTTCTTTAAACCAAATTGATGACCACATAGTAACCGATGGTAAAAAAATTGCTGTGATTTCCCGAGAGATTAATGTCTCACAATTACAGGTCTGTAGTT